GCATATACCGTTAGGCTGAGGAATTATACTTCTGAGAACTTATTCCAGGGAAAAGTTGGTAAAGCAGGTAAAGACATACATGTGTCTACACTAAACACATTTTAGTTACCTATTAATAAGGAATACATTAAATTATAGTACATTTATGAGACATAAAACCATGTAGCCACTAAAAGTTAATGTAGATGCATATTTATTGATAGGAAACAACATCTCTAATCTCTTGAATGGAAAAGAGCAGATTGTTGGATCTTATTTATTTAAAACTATACGTATAATGAGTTCCTAGAAGGATGGTTTCCAGAGGATATTACATGTGATTGATTCTGTGTGATGCAATTTCGGCGGACTTTTACTATTCTTTATACTTTTCAAATGGTGCTTGAAATGTTTACATTTTGTAATCATTTTTTATAAGCAGAAAAACAAATTTTATTTGAAAAACATAAATATAAAATCTAATTTATTGTGGTAACAGAAAATAGAAGATAGCATTTAACAACAAAATGCTGAAGTGATATAAAGAAAACTATGAGGTCCCTGAAGAGAAGTCTGGCTCTGAGTGGAGTGAGGAAGAGACAGCCTTTGTTTCTGCATGGGGACTATAGGTCTGTAAAAATATCAGATCTCCCCATGCTAATTTATAGAGTGCAATAACAATAAAAATACCAGAAAGTAAGTTTAAAAAGTATGCTGAAGAACGTCTTAATTTTTAATGTAAAAGATACCTTTGAGGTCGTCTTTTGATTTCCTCTGCGGAGGCAACTATTGTTATGAAGTTGACTTACATTTTTCTTGTTTGTGCCTTTTTACTTTAGAACGTGCATCTCTATCCACATGCTTTTTGGGTTCAACTCCTTTTTCTGTTAGATTGATAGTTTTTCTCTATTCCTTATTTTTTTTCTAGGCTGCTTTGGAAGCCCTAGATTCTATTGGTTAACTTTAATTGTGACATATATATATGTGTGTGACACATATATATGCATTACGCACACATACATACATTCATATACACATACCTACATATGTTTTTGAGACAGTCTCGCTCTGTTGTCAGGATGGAGTGTACTGGTGGGATCTCAGCTCTCAGCTCACTGCAGCCTCCACCTCCCGGATTCAAGTGATTCTCCTGCCTCAGCCTACTGAGCAGCTGGGATTACAGGCGCCAGCTACCACGCCTGGCTAACTTTTGTATATTTAGTAGAGACAGGATTTCACCATGTTGGCCAGGTTGGTCTCGAACACCTGGCCTCAAGTGATCTATCCACCTCGGCCTCCCACAGTGCTGGGATTACAGGCATGAACCACTGTGCCTGGGCATGACAAGTATATTTTATCAGTCAGGGAACAGATATACTAATGAGTATTACAGCTGGATTATAAAACTTTTGACTCACATTTTTTTTTGCCGTCGGTAGAAAGCAAAGGGAGCTTATCCATACGCTCCCCATGCCCATATCCAGCATCTCATTTACTATAATGCTGTCTGCAATCAGATATTGTGATTATGGATGCTGTTTCTCCTGGAGTACTTGTGTGGTTCCCTGGAAGCTTCAGGGCTTTTCTTACTCACAGGTTGTCTAGGATGTTTCAAGGCAGACCTTGGTGTGGGCTTCAGATTTTTTTTTTTTTTTTTTTTTGTTGGAGTCTTTCTCTTTTGTCCAGGCTGGAGTGCAGTGGTGCAATCTTGGCTCACAGCAACCTCTGCCTTCTTGGTTCAAGCAATTTTCCTGCCTCAGCCTCCTGAGTAGGTGGGATTACAGGTGCCTGCCACCGTGGTGGGCTAATTTTTGTATTTTTAGTAGAGACGGGGTTTCACCATGTTGGCCAGGCTGGTCTCGAACTCCTGATCTCAAGAGATCAACCCGCCTCAGCCTCCCAAATTGCTGGGAGTAGAGGTGAGCCGCTGCACTCGGCCTCAGATCTTTTATAATATCCCTTTGGAGTCAAAGGTCAACCATGATTCTGGAGAGGCACCAGGTGCGCAGTATTCCGAGTATCCGTTCCTTTAGTAGCACTTTTTGGGCACATGCATGAGCCAGGTACTATGCTGATGACTACGTGACAAATGTTCTAAGTCACAGTCTCAGGTAGAAGACAGGCCCACAGTTACTACATACTACACAGTGTAAGTGCTTTAGTCAGAGACCTCTAAAGAGACTGAGAAAGTAGAGAAGGGATCAAGCAGTTCTACCTTGAGAAGCTGAGGTTGGCATCACAGTGGACCCCAGGACAGCAAAGAGAGTGGGAAATACTGCCAAAGGTGAGGCTTTCTGTACCTTGTTGGTGCTTTCGAGGAAATTGTCACTACTCTGGATATTCAGGCCAGGTAGCAGAAGGATGGGCCTGACCACATGCAAAGTAAATCTGAACTGCCCAGGACACTGCAAGGCAGTTTATGCGGGAAGGTGGTAGCTGTGGTTGAAATAAATTTGCATCTCCACATGGAGTATCTATAATGGCTGGTAATATGTCAAAGTGAAGCTCAAGCAGCCGGGAGGCCTGGGAACAAAAGGACAGCTGTAAGGACTGGGCTTAGGAACAGATGAACTGACTCTGGAATACGGTAGGATTGTGGGTCCAGGGAAGCTAGGATAGGTGATCAGATAGGTTGCTGCCATGGGTTGAATTGTGTCCCCCCCACCCAAAAGATGTGTTAAAGTCCTAATCCCCAGTACTTGGTGATTTCTTTGGAGATTATATCTTTACAGAGGAAATTAGTTAAAATGAGGTCATACTAGAGTAAGGCAGGCCTTTAGATCAGTATGACTGGTGTTCCTTTAAGAAAACAGCCATGTGAAGACATGGAGAGACAAAGAGAATGCCATGTGAAAACATAGGCAGAGGTCGCAGTGATGTGGCCACAAGCCAGAGAAACAGAAGGCAGAGTTGGCAGGAGTGTGGTCACAAGCCAAGGAATGCCAGCAGCCACCAGAAACTGGAAGGGCAAGGAACACATTCTCCCCTAGAGCCTTCAGAGGAAGCATGACTCTGCTGTCACCGCGATTCACAATTCTGGCCTCCGAGAACAGAGAGAATAAACTCCTGTTCTTTTAAACCACCAGGTTTGTGCTAATGTGTTATTGCAGCCATGGGAAACTAATACAGAAGGCTAAAATGAGAAAGATAAGTATTGGCAAGGATGTGTGGAAATTGGAGTGCTCTTAGATTACTGGTGGGAATGTAAGATGGTGCAGCTCCTTTGGAAAATGGTTTGACAATTTCCTACAATGTTAAAAATGGAGTTACCCTATGAACTAGAAATCTCACATCTATGCGTATACTCAAGAGAAATGAATATATACATCTTCACATAAAATTGTTCATGAATGTTCAAAGCATGTGTATTTGTAATAGCCAAAATGTGGACACAACTCAAATATCCACTAACTGTTGAGTGGATAAACAACATGTGGTGTGTCCATACAATGGGTTATGACTTGGCAATAAAAAGAAATGAATAGTAACATGCTACATGGTTAAACCTTAAAAACATTATGCAAAGTTGGAGAGGCTAGACACAAACACTACGTATTATATGATTCCATTAATATGAAATGTCTAGAATAGGCAAATCCATGGACACTCAATTTGATTAGCATTTACCTGGGACTAAGGAGAGGGAGTGTGGGGAATGACTGCTAATGGATGTAGGTTTTCTTTTACAGTAACAAAAATGTACTAAAATTAGATAGTAGTAATGGATTCACAGCTCAAAAAAGTCATTGAATTGAATTTTATTTTTTGAAAGGGTTGATTTTTTTTTTTTTTTTTTTTTTTTTTTTTTTTGAGACAGTTTTGCTCTTGTTGCCCAGGCTAGAGTGCGATGGCCCGATCTCGGCTTACTGCAACCTCCGCCTCCCGGGTTCAAGGCAGGAGCCTCAGCCTCTCAAGTAGCTAGGATTACAGGCATGTGCTACCATGCCCAACTAATTTTGCACTTTTAGTAGAGATGGGGTTTCCGCATTTTGGTCAGGCTGGTCTTGAACTCCTGACCTCAGGTGATCTGCCCACCTCAGCCTCCCAAAGTGCTGGGATTACAAGCGTGAGCTGCCATATCTGGCTGAAAGGGTTGATTTTATTGTTGTGAAGACAGAGACCTTGGCAGAGATTCCTTTAAGCAGAGCAAGAGTATAAGGTATTCCTTCTTCTCTTGTTTCCTTCATTCAGCATACCTTTGTTTAGTGCCTATTATGTGCCAGATCCTCTTCTATGAGAATATAGTGGTTCACCAGCCTGGCAACTAGCTTATTTTCTGGGAATTTGCATTCCATCAACAATGGAAAAAAATTATGAAATATTAGGTCATACCAAGATAGTGTTTTTGTCACTACTTCCCAGGCATGAAGTTAGTGTACAAAGTTAGAATGAACCACCATCAGGTTGACAGATAGTTTTCTCCCTAAAAGACCATGAAAGTATCTCTTCCTTCCTTTCTTGTCCTATTTCAAGATAAGTTTTCACTCTGTTACCCAGACTGGAGTGCAGTAGTGCCATTGTAGCTTACTGGAACCTTGAACTCCTTGGTTCAGTGATCCTCCCACTTCAGCCTCCTAAGTTGCTGAGACTACAGATATGGCCCACCACACCCAACTAATTAAAATTTTTTTTTGGTAGAGGCTGGGTGCAGTGGCTTACACCTGTAATCCCAGTACTTTGGGAGGCTGAGGCAGGAGGATACTTTGAGGCCACCATGATTTCTCTCTTGTTGCAGGGAGACTTTTTTACACATCTTCAAGAAACCCCTTTTCTAGAGTGTGTGCTCAGCCCTCCACACCAAACTAGGAAGTTTTCAGAGAGGATGGGAAGAGTGGATTGGTAAAGAATAAGCGTGTTGAGCTTGGGCAGAGGTTTTGCTGCTTCTCTAAAGATTCTTCCAATGCTGTGATTTGTTACAATTCCTGTCCCTATTTGGAAAGGTCTGGTGATCCTCTTCTGGTTTTTCTTCTAATGCTGAATGATTCTGCAGTTTGATGAGTCATTTTTGCTTCTGTTTGTAGAAGAGGTGCAGTACATTCAGGCTGAGAAAAACAACAAGGGCCCAATGGAGGCTGCCACACTTTTTCTCAAGATCCTGTTGGAGCTCCAGGAGGAAGGCTGGTTCCGTGGCTTTTTGGATGCCCTAGACCACGCAGGTTAGTTCATTTTTAAAACTCACAAATCAGAGTATATTACTTTGCTGCTTGACAATGTTGTAAAAGTGAAAAGCTACTAATTTTGAAGCATCCACTTTGAAGTATTCACTTTGAAGTATCCGCTTGTGCCACTAAGAGGCACGAACTGTACTAAGTCTGAGGCAATGTAAAAACTATTTTTAGGCAGATGACATAATTGTCTACCTGAAACATCCACAAGCATCTGCAGAGAGATTACTGTCACTAGTGGAAGAGTTAGCAAGATTATTTGAATATAAGGCCAGTATGCAAAAATTAGTTGCATTTCTGCCCACTGAAAGCAAACAAAAAATGTAATCTGCAATGAAGTATCATTTATAATAATTGTAATGTGTTTAGGAATAAATCTAACAAAAGATGTATAAAGTCTGAATGGAGAAAATGATAAAATGTTATTGAAAGATATAAATAAGTCCTAAATGGAAATACATATCCATGCACATAGAGGAGGAGACTTGATATAAAAATGTCAGTTCTCCCTACATTAATCTGTATATTCAATAAATTCTAATAAAAATCCTACATACTTTTTCAATGAGTGTGGCAAGTTGATTCTACAATGCCTGTGGAAGAATTATGACCCAAGAATAGGCAAGACACCCCTAAAGAAGACAAATTTAGTAGACTGGGGCTTTTCTTTCTACATGTCAGCATTTATTAGAAAGCTACAGGCATTGAGACAGTGTAATGTTCATTCTGGCATTAACAAACTGACTGTTGAAATAGAATAGAGACCCTTTAATTAGACCCATATCTTTATGGAAACCTGATATATTAGATATCACTGGGAAAGAAGGATTACTGGTAAACAAGGAGCCATTCAAAAAATAGCATTTATAAACAGAATAACATTAAAAATCAAACAAACTTAAGCTGGACGTGGTGGTGTATGCCTGTAGTCCCAGCTACTCAGGAGGCTGAGGCTGGAGGACTGCTTGAGTCCAAGAGTTTGAGGCTGCAGCGAGCTATGATGGTGCTGCTGCACTTCAGCTTGGGCAACATAGGGAGACCCCCATATTTAAAACACCCTAACTTTTATGCCCATGTGGATACAAGTAAATAAATTTGTATTCTTACCTCACGTTTATCAAAAGCACTATAAAGAAAATGAAAAAAACAAATCACAAACTCTGGGAGAAGATATTTGCAAAACATATAATCACCAAACGATTAGTATCTAAAATATGTTAAAAGGGTCTTGAAATCAATTGGAAAAAGAAAGAAAACAAACAGCAAACAATTTGGACAAACATTTCAATGAATGTGAAGCATGAAAAGTGAATAAATGTATGAAAAGATTCTCACCCCAATTAGGAATTTGGACATTGTAAATTAGGAACACAGTGAGATAACATTTTGTAACTACTAGATAGCAAAACTTAAGAAGTCCAACGGTGTTAAGGCTTAAAGAAGATATTTAATGGAAATCGTTTTTTCAGACGGAGTCTTGCTCTGTCACCCAGGGTGGAGTGCAATGGCGCAATCTTGGCTTACTGCAACCTCCACCTTTCGGATTCAAGCTATTCTCATGTCTCAGCCTCCTCAGTAGCTGGGAATACAAGTGCCCACCACTGTGCCTGGCTAATTTTTGTATTTTTAGTAGAGATGGGGTTTCACTATGTTGGTCAGGTTGGCCTCGAATTCCTGACCTCAGGTGATCCACCTCACCCACCGGCCTTTGCCTCCCAAAATGCTTGGATTACAGGTGTGAGACACCACGTCCAGCTGGAAATCTTAAATATCACTATATGGAGTGTAAATTGATACAACTATTTTGAAAAATGATTTGATATTACCTTGTAGAGTTCAACTCTCATACATCCTTGTATCCAAAAGTTTCACTCTTAAATTTGTGCCCTAGGAGAATTATACATGTATTCCAGAATATGCTTGTAAGAGTGTTCATAGTATAACTGCAGTAACAAAAGCAAGCAAACAAAACTGGAAATTACCCTGATGCCTTTTAAGAAGAGAATGGATACATAAGTTATAATAGTTAAACATGATCCATTAAGCTACAATGAAAAGGTATGAACACATTTATAGTTGACAACTTAGGTGAGTCTTAGAAATGTAATGTTAAATTTTTAAGAGAAACTTATATGTCATAGGATATAATATTTATAAAGCCCTAAAAAGCTAAACTTAACATATTGCTTAGGGAATCAAATATATGCAAGTATAAAAAAATCAAGTATTGATTTATTAAATACAGGGAAGGAGTGATTGACAGGGAGACAAAGGGTTTGGAAAGATAAGGCACATACAAATATTGGAATATGGTAGCTCTTAAGTTGGATAGTAGGTTCACATATATTTTTTTTCTTGTTATATTCTTATATATGTTACAAATATTCTGGTACATGCATCAAATTTTACATACTTTTAAAATTTCTGTTTTCAGAGCTATGGTGTGTTCTATCAACAGAAGAATCATGAAGTTCATAAATTTGGAAAGGAGAGCTTTATTTTTCATAAAGGGTTGCAGCCTGCATGGTGGCCATTTTGACAGGCTGGGAAGTACAGCCTCCAGCCAGAAGCCAGAAATAGGCACTTTGAGGGTGGGAAGAGTAAAACAGATTTATGCTGAATGGGGTGACCAAATATTCAGTAAGCTACAGAAGGAGTCATGAATATGAAAGCAGAAGCATGCACCTGCACAGTTGAGCTTCATGCCTTTCTATGGGACCCGTGTTCAAAAACTGGCAGTGTTAGCATGATCCAAGGGTGGAATTTTTGGCCCTCTGATGTCAGAAGGTGAAGCAGAGGACATGAAAATCCTCACTGCACATCCTCCATAGACTGACGAGACCCACTTCGTGGTTGGTGGTCTCTTAGGAAGAAATGCTGGTTGGTTGTTGTGTTGAAACTGCAGAAGGGAGGGGAAGTCAGGGATTGGTTGAAATCAGCAATGGAGCAAATCTTTCCAAAGGGCTGGTTTCTGTTTCTCTTCAGAGAAAGCACTGTTTCTCCACTTTGGGGATATAATTAATCTGGATATTATAAGTCATTTTAATCCTTACCAACCTGTTAGGTAAAATAGTACTTTTAATTTTTATCTTAAAAATTGAATAAGTTTTAGCATTCAAAGTCCTAGCTAGAGCAAGGAAAAAAAGAAGTAAAATAATCTGTTTGCAGATGGCAGAATCTTATATGTAGAAACCCCTAAGGATATTAGAAAAAACTATTACAACTAATTCAGAAAAATTTCAGGACACAAAATTGACACCAAAAGTAGTCACATGTCTGTATACTAACAAATAATCCAAAGAGAAAATTAAGTTAACAATTCCATTTTATAATAGCGTCAAAAAGATTAAAATAGAAACCTAAACATGGAAATAAGAACTCATACCTTGAAACCTACAAAAACATTGCTGAAAGAATGAAAGATGACACAAATAAATGGAAAGACATCTGCATTCATGAACTGGAAGACTTAAGATGCCTGTACTTCCAAAAGTGAGCTATAGATTCAGTGCAATCCCTATTAAAATCCCATTAACATTTTTTTGTAGAAATAGAAAAAATTATCCAAAATTTATAGAGAATCTCAAGGCATCCTGAGTAGGCAAAATTTTGATAATGAGGAATAAACCAGGAGGCCTCACCCCTCCTGATTTCAAAACACATTACAAAGCTATAGCAATCAAACTGATGTGGCATTGGCATAAAGACAGACACATAGGCCAAAAGAGCACCCAGAAATAAATCCTCAAGTATATTATGGTCAAAGGTGCCAAGATCTCTCAATGGGGAAAGGACAATCTCTTCAGCAAATGTTGGGAAAACTGGATATCCGTATGCAAAAGAGTGAATTTTGACACTTAAACCATGTATTTACAGTTCTCCACAGAAACAGAACCAATAGGATATTTTTATGTGTGTGTATATATGATGAGCTATGTAAACACATTGTTACTTACATGTATGTGTATATTTTTGGAATTGGCTCACATGATTATGGAGGCTGAGATGTCTCATGATTTGCTGTCTGCAATCTAGATAATCAGAGGAGCAGTTGGTGTAATTCAGAGTCTGTAGTCCTGAGAACCAGGACCTCTGATGTCCAAGGGCAAGAGAAAGGATGAGCTCAAGAAAAGAGAGAATTTGCCCTTCTTCTGCCTTTTTGTTCTCTTTTAGTCTTCAATGGATTGGATGATGTCTACACACATCAGTGAGGGTGAATTTTTTTTACTCAGTCTGATTCAAATGCTAATCTGTTCTAAAAACACCCTCACAGACACACCCAAAAATATTTTACCAGCTATCTGGGCATCCCTTAGCCCAGTCAAGTTGACATATAAAATTAACCATCACTTGCTATATACAAAAATAAGCTCAAAATGCATTAAAGACCTAAATGTAAGACTAACACTATAAAACTCCTAGAAGAAAGCATAGGGGAAAAACTTCATGACATTGGACTTGGCAGTGATTTCTTGGACATGATACGAGAAGCATAGGCAACAAAAGCAAAAATAGACAAATGAGACTATATGAAACTTACATGCATCAAGGATATAATAGGGTGAAAAGTCAACCTATGGAATGAGAGAAAATGTTTGCAAGTCATGTACCTGATAAAGGGTTAATATGTAGACTATATCAAGAACAACTACAACTCAACAATAAAAAAATCAAATTAAAAAATAGGCAAAGGGGCTGGGCGCATGCCTGTAATTCCAGCACTTTGGGAGGCTGAGGCAGGTGATCATCTGAGGTCAGGTGTTCAAGACCAGCCTGGCCAACATGGTGAAACCCCTTCTCTACTAAAAATACAAAAATTAGCTGGACGTGGTGGCACATGCTTGTAGTCCTAGCTACTCAGGAGGCTGAGACATGAGAATTGCTTGAACCCAGGAGGCAGAGGTTGCAGTGAGCCAAGATCATGCCACTGCACTTCAGCCTGGGTGACAGAGTGAGATTCCATCTCAAAAAAAAAAAAAAAAAAAAAAAAAGGCCAAGTATTTGAATAGACATTATTCAAATATGGTATGCAAATGGCTAATGAATGTATGGAAAGATATTCAACATCATTAATCATCAGAGAAATTCAAAGCCACAATGATACCACCTCACCCCAATTAAAATGGCTTCTATCTAGAAAATAAAGTTCATTGGTGAGGATGTGAAGAAGTTGGAACCCTGTGCCTGATTGGTAGGAATGTCAAATGGTGTAACAGCTATGGAAAACAGTATGGCAGTCCCTCAAAAAAACTGAAAATATGTATCACCATATGATCCAGCAATTTTGTTTCTGGTGTATTTCCAAAAGAATCGAAAGCAGGGTCTTGATGAGATATTCGCACATCTGCATTGATAGCATTATTCATGATAGATTACAAGGTAGAATCAACTCAAATGTCCATCCGTGGATGAATGGATCAACAAAATGTGATCTACACATACAATGGAATATTATTCAGTCTTGAAAAAGAAGGAAATCCTGCCACACATGGCAAAATGAACATACCTTAAGGGCATTGTGCTGAGTGAAGTAAGTCAGACACAAAAAGACAAATATTGTATTTTGCTACCTATATAAATTATCTGAAGTAGTCAGATTCAGAGAAACAGAGTGGTGGTAAACAGAAGCAGGGGGAGGGGAGAAAAAGTAGTTGTTGTATAGAGTTTTAGATTTGCAAGGTGAAAAAGGTGTGGATTTCTGTTTTATAACAAAATGAATCAAACTCGACTGAAGTGTACATTTAAAAATAGTTAAGATGGTAAATATTTAATCTGTTTTTTACCACAATTTAACAAAAGAATGAGGTTAAACATCTTGTGTATGTTTGTTGGCCATTAGTATTTTCCTCTGAACTTTCTAAATATGATTTTTAAGTAAATATCTTTTAAAGGCAGACAGAATAATATTAGGTAAATTTCCCATTTACTTAATATTAACTTAGAAAAATTAGAAGGAAAGTTCCTTGGGGCAGCAGTTAAGATTTAGATCTCGTTCTGCCTTCTTTACTGCTTTCCCCTGAGAGGATAACGACAACAGACCTGTTGAATCTGACTTTGTAAAGACAAATCAGAGATTGCAGTTGAAGTCCATGGGGCACTTGAGAAGAAAGATTTTATACTAAGATCAAAATGTAGGACTTCATAGTTGTTCTTAGTACTCTTTCCTAATAGATAATAAACATTGCTAGAAGACCTCACGTGTTGGGTGACTAAAATGAACACTGTTTTCTTTTTGAAAAATCAATGACAATTAGGGGTAATTTGTAGATATTTCTTGAATTCTACTACCATATATTCAAATATGATTTCTGTGATACTAATCTGGAAGTATTTTTCAGTTGGTTTCATGAAAGTCCACTTTTTCTCTTTCTTTTCAGGTTATTCTGGACTTTATGAAGCCATTGAAAGTTGGGATTTCCAAAAAATTGAAAAGTTGGAGGAGTATAGATTACTTTTAAAACGTTTACAACCAGAATTTAAAAGTAGAATTATTCCAATAGATATCCTTCCTGATCTATCTGAATGTTTAATTAATCAGGAGTGTGAAGAAATTACACAGGTAAGTTAATATAAATTACTAAAATTGGGAAAATAATTATAACATGGGGCTTCTATTTTCCATACTTTTTAGACCTGAGAAAGATCACTGAAACCCACAAAAGTACTCCTAAACTAATACTAGGCTAGTACTTTTAATGTGAACTGAGTAATGTTTATGTCACAAATATTTTCTTGAAGTTTGCTGTATTTTCAGTTAATATCACCATAGTCTGTGAACAGTATTTTATGCTAAAGTAAATTGAACAGTTGAGCAAATGAGAAAAGACTACAGACTCTAGCAGTTAAGTGTTTAGACTCTGGACACAGAGGAATTTTGTTAGAATCTTAGCTCAACCACTTACTAGTGGTATGATCTTGGGCAAGTTACTTAGCATCTCTGAATATCTGTTTCTTTGTGTGTAAAATGTAAATAATGTGCCTTATTAATATGGTATTTTTTGTAAGGGTTAAATGAGATAATATATGTAAAGTACTCATATATGGCTTGCACAGAGTACATGTACAATACACTTTAGTTATTATGATTAATAATAAAAGTCACACAAATTCCTCTACCCTGAAAAAAATTGTAAATATTTTGTTATCTGTTTCCAAATATTTCTGTATGCCAATATATTCATGTTGGGAATGGTCGCCAAATGATTATTTTCCTAATATTGCTAATGAGGATCTCGGAGGCGATGAGAAGGCTTGGCTTGACATAGTGACAAGGTTTGACCTAGTGATGAGAAGCCTTGTCATGTGTAAAGGACAAGGGTGAAGGAAAAGGTATCTTAAAAGACTGTATTGGATAGGGCAAAAATTGTCGTGAATATGACCCATTGAACCATAATGTTCAATGGCTTTAAATCAGATAGTACATGAACTGATGAACTGACATTTCTTTGATAAAAACTGATAAAGGGAAAACTTTTGGGATAATTGATCAATAAACTACAGTTGCCTTGCTTAGATTTGCTCCACTAAGGGAATGATGGCAGGTGCAGAGAAATTGGTGGAATGCCTTCTCAGATCAGACAAGGAGAACTGGCCCAAAACTTTGAAATTTGCTTTGGAGAAAGAAAGGAACAAATTCAGTGAGCTGTGGATTATAGAGAAAGGTAAGACACCGTGCCCTCCTCATATCTCTACTCAGGGCTTTGTTCATTCCAGCTGGTCTTTTACATCCCATCAGAGGCGTTTTCCCCTCAGCCAGAGCTACAGCTCTAGTGCGAGACCAGCAGGAAGCTCAAATCTGGGAGGGAAGCAGTTTCAAAGGCTGAGTTTGATAAACATCTGAATGTCTAGTCTTAGCTTTCTTAGGCTTCTGTCCGTATAAATATGCATCTGATTTCTTGGGTCAAGAGTCAGTCAGAAATGGAAGACACGAATGTCTGCTAAATCATGCCCCTCTTTTTTTTTTTTTTTTTTTTTTTTTTGATGCATATGAATCCCTCCGAGGTCTTGTTAAAATGTGGATTCTGATTCAGTAAGGCAATACATTCCACACTTTGAGCAATATAGCTGTAAATTACATTGGAGGTAAACTCTAAATTGAGATTTTAAACTTAAAATGATTTATTTTAACTCTCTTAAAAGGTGAAGGGGAATGGTTGTGAGAAATTTTAATAGAAGTTAAACATCTTAGTGTTTTTGTAGAGCTTTCACCATCAAAACTATAAGCAGATTATATTAAGATTCTAAGACTTTTTTGGCCTTAAAAAGGTATAAAAGATGTGGAAACAGAAGATCTTGAGGAGAAGATGGAAACTTCTGACATACAGATTTTCTACCAAGAAGATCCAGAATGCCAGAACCTTAGTGAGAATTCATGTCTGCCTTCAGGTATCCCACCTGGTTTGTTCTTTTCCATAATGGTGCTCTTCTGGTATTTGGTGTGGGGACATGTTTTGCAATACCAGAAGTCACAGCCTTGTGAAAAGGTTTGTAAGGAAAATTCGAAAAGAGAATTTATATTACAATAGATACCTTTTCTGTCTTTAGAATGCCATTTTCTCCTTCTAGGTCTTCTTCCACTATCTTGCTTTTCTTCTTTTACTATCTTTTTTCTTGTTTTTTACCACTAAGAAAGTATGTATGTGTCTACATTGGAAGTGTACATAGAGTCTTGACCAAAACGCAATGTCTGTGAATTCCCAAATCAGTCTTGCTTTCTAGTCTTTCTAAAGAAAGACTTTAGAAAGTCTTCTTTTTGTGAGCCACTTGCTCAGTTTCTTTTAAGGATCCCAGGGCTGCCCTGCAAGTTGATGAAGTTAGTGTGCAGCTCCTTTTTCTCATGTACACAAAGGATCTGTGTAAGTTAGCTGTGGCCCTGTGAGGGCCCCTTATCTTCTTGAAGCATATTTTCTTGACAGTTTTATGAGACCAGAAAGTTGCATACTATGCCATAATAAAGAATTATTTATAAAAGAGTATCAGGAAAGAAATTAGGTTTAATAATGAGCAGTGTTAGAAGAAAAACGATATTAGGATAACGCCATAGAAATAAAATGTGCAGATTACTTCTGCAACTGGATGTTACAAGTGTCTTTTTCTTTTATTCCTTTTTTGGTCATTCCAGAATAAAATCTGTTACCCTGGAAAAAAAACAAAAACAAAGAAAAAATAGAATAAAGTCAATGAATATGCATTGCTTTAAATTGTCTGACGTGAAGATTCTTATGTCTTTTTTTGTTTGTTTTTGAGATGGAGTCTCGCTCTGTCACCTAGGCTGGAGTGCAGTAGTGCAATCTCAGCTCACTGCAACCTCGGCCTCCCGGGTTCAAGCGTTTCTCCTGCCTCAGCCTCCCTAGCAGCTGGGACCATGGGCATGTGTTACCACAACTGGCTAATTTTGTATATTTAGTAGAGATGGGGTTTCACCATGTCAGCCAAGCTGGCCTCTAACTCCTGACCTCAAGTGATCTGTCCACCTCAGCCTCCCAAAGTGCTGGGATTACAGGCATGAGCCAGTGTGCCTGGCCCTTACATGTCTTTTCTGTGAGGGTAATTCACTTAACTTTTTAGAAATTTTCCCTTTCTCTAAAATGGGTAGGTTAGACTCATTAGACAATTTCCAAAGTCTTTGCTAGCTTTAACATTTTATATGCTTACCTGTTACTGAGATAAAGCCTTTGATTATTTTTTAAAACTTCTGGTTGTATTGAGAGAAAATGCCGTTTGAGAACCTGAAGAAGGACAAAGCATTATTGCTACTTAAGAAATTGCTTTGGTAACAGTTTGGATTTCCTCAAAGATCTTGGGAGGATTTGTTGCTTTGTTCCATACAGCACTGCCCTTAACAAATGGCCAACTTGTCTTACCCAGATTTGGGCCATTCTTGCTGTGGTTTCTCTTTGTTAGGCTTCCATGATTGTATAACAAATAATTCGTGGGTTTTTTTTCTTTCTTAACATCAATACTTTGTCACTGAGAGAATTTTGTACTTCAGATTAGTGGGAAAGCTAGAATGGCTAACAAGGAAAAGATTCTAAACTGTCTCCAATGAGGCTCTTCTTGCTAGAGTCAGAATTTGTGGGCTTTAGACTGTGGGTATTTCCCTGATTCCTCAGAGCAGGAGCTATTTGGTAATTTGGTTTCTTTTGTATTCCAGAAGTGTCTGATACAGACTTGTACAGCCCATTTAAACTAAGAAGTTACCAATTAGAGCTTGCTTTGCCTGCCAAGAAAGGAAAAAACACAATAATATGTGCTCCCACAGGTAAGCCAATTGCCATTACTTACATGGTTTTGTTTGTTTCCTTTTTTTTCTTTTATTGAATACTGGGACAGAATGGGCAAGTTTCAGATTTTTCCTTGTTCCATGTGTCTTTTGAAAAAACTGTCCTAATGACGTAATCCTAATGTATTTTATGGGACATGAGAAGGTAAAGAAAAGTGCCCTCTGTTAGCTTGCTTTTTGGTTCTGGCTGTTTGCATGCTATCTAGGGAGCAGCTTGATATTTTTTAGTCATAGTGTAAATTCCGTCATCATTAATCCATCTAAATTATCAATTAGTCAGCTCTGTGGTATTAGAAGAGCCAAAAATAAATGCCTTTTTAGAGAAATATCTAATATCATATGAGTTACATGTTTTCTTTTTTCCTTACATGTTAAAAGGTTGTGGAAAAACCTTTGTTGCACTCCTTATATGTGAACATCATCTTAAAAAATTCCCTCAAGGACAAAAGGGGAAAGTTGTCTTTTTTGCTAATCAGATCCCAGTGTATGAACAGCAGAAATCTGTATTCTCAAAATACTTTGAAAGACTTGGGTAGGTAATAGTTGGTTCAAACTTCTTTTTCTTCAGTTTCATGTAATTGATGTGATTTCTGTTTTATTTTTGAATCAATGATTAAAAAAATTTATATTAGATTCAGCTTTTGTATAATCAGGATATAATTCATTCATGGATTCAAGTCTTTTTTGTTATATGTGCCAGAAGTCTTAAACTCCCCTTGTTTGCCCTTGTATGGGGAATAAATGACTTCAGGGATAAATGTGATGTGTAAGTGGCACATTTAACTTCTTTAGTGATTTTATAATTTATTTGATATTATTCTTTTAGGGTTTTCTTTTGTCTCTTAGTCACTTAATATATATTACTTTAAATTACAACTAGCTTGGATTTATTGATCACTTACTATGTGTCAGGTCAAGCACTTACTGTGTGCTAAGGACTTGCCTACAGCTATACTCCTTTTGGACTCAGGGAGAACTTAATCAGTTGATGTTCTGATCTAGCATTTCATCTTCATGGTTCCTTATTCACATTGTGGTTGGTAATATGGAACTTCTGTCATTTCAGGTATAGAGTTACAGGCATTTCTGGAGCAACAGCTGATAATGCCCCAGTGAAACAGATGGTTGAGAACAACGACATCATCATTTTAACTCCACAGATTCTTGTGAACAACCTTAAAAATGGAACGATTCCATCACTGTCCGTCTTCACTTTGATGATATTTGATGAATGCCACAACACTAGTAAACAACATCCATACAATATGATCATGTTCAATTATCTAGATCAGAAACTTGGAGGATCTTCAGGCCCACTGCCCCAGGTATCTCCAGAGTCAGACGAATTCTTCAGAAAAGCTATAATCTTCCTAACTTTTATCTCTTACTCTTGTGGTCACATTGAAGATGTCCTTCTCAGGTCCTAAGTCCATATTATACAACTCATTTTTAATTTTGGTTCATTTATTCATTTGTTCACTTAGTAAATATGCATTATATGCCTGCATGTACCATATGCTGTGTGTCAGAAAAAAAAACAAAAACAACAGCCCTACTCCAGCAGGAAAGAGTTATATGAGGAGTTGTGGAAACATTGTGCTATTTCTCAGACATCTAATGACTTGGAATGCTTCTTACAGGTCATTGGGCTGACTGCCTCGGTTGGTGTTGGGGATGCCAAAAGCACAGATGAAGCTTTGGATTATATCTGCAAGCTGTGTGCTTCTCTTGATGCGTCAGTGATAGCAACAGTCCGAGACAACCTGGAGGAACTGGAGCAAGTTGTTTATAAGCCCCAGAAGTGTCAGTTGGATCCAGGAACAAGCCCTTTGAAATTTGGTTCCTCTCTGCTAGCAGTAGTTCAGAGCCATCTAGACGAACACTGAACTTTGACTCTTTCTCTGTTTAGTAGAAAATATTTAACTCTAAACTTGAGTAATAGTCACATTTTTAGCCTCTCTCTCTAACTGAGCTGTCTTCCCAAGCAGTGGATGAACCTCAGAAGTGGCCTGTAGAGAGCAAACGTTCTTCCTCTTTGGTTCCAAAAACCTCTTATAAAGGTACTAGCGATGCAAAAGAGAGGATGAGAGAATTTACGCATCACATAGCCAAGAGCTGGGCTCAGCCTTTTCCCGTGGTCTGTGCCTGTATGGTCATCACTGTTTGAATATTGTATTTGATCATTTTAGTTGAAATGGACTGATCTGAATTCATGATATCCCTCCTCAAAAGATCAGATATGATTTTTCTTTTTTTTTTTTTGAGATGGGGCCTTGCTCTGTCACCCAGCCTGGAGTGCAGTGGCGTGTCTCAGCTCACTGCAACCTCTGCCTCCTGGGTTCAAGCGATTCTCCTGCCTCAGCCTCCCAAGTAGTTGGGATTACAGGCACCTACCACCGAGCCTGGCTAATTTTGTATTTTTAGTAGAGACAGGGTTTCACCATGTTGGCCAGGATGGTTTCGAACTCCTGACCTCAGGTGATCTACCTGCTTCAGCCTCCCGAAGTGCTGATTACAGATGTGAGCCACCATGCCCGGCTGGATATGAATTTTTAATAAGACTTCAACTGTTGATTTATGTTATTATTATACTAACCCTGCAAAGAAGAGGGGGGTACAGAAAATATATATGATTACACCCTTGCTCTCTGAGTAGTATGTGACTATATGTCTGAGGTAGAACAAATCCACATGGAATAGGGAGTGTTGTAGGTAAGCTGCTTTTCGAAGGCTGTTTGTAAGGAGTGTGATGTACCCAACCCCAGCTTTTCAGGGTCACATATGAATTTCTTCATAATCCTCTTCCTCCTGCCCTCTGAGCTTCATCGCCTCCAAACATTCATAAACCCAACGACGTCGCATTCCTCTGGGCTCCTCAAACATGCCTTGTGCTTTCTCTCTGCAAGCTTTTGTCTGTGCTTCCTTTGTATATCACTGATCTTTTTTTTCTTTTTCTTTGCCAAGTCGTGATGGAATATAGATGACTACTCTTGCTTTTTTCTTTCTTCTTTCTGTATTTATTCTACAGCTGTGACTCTGCTGGAAGAATTAGGTGTTTGCCTATGTTTTGTGACACTTTTCATGTCCTAGTGCTTTTTTTTTTGAGACAGAGTCTCGCAGTGTTGCCTAGGCTGGAGTATAGTAGTATGATCTTGGTTCACTGCTGCAACCTCCACCTCCTGGGTTCAAATGATTCTCCTGCCTCAGCCTTGTGAGTAGCTGGAATTACAAGTGTGTGCCACTACGCCCAGCTAATTTTTTGTATTTTTTAGTAGAGATGGGATTTTGCCATGTTGGCCAGCCAGGCTGGTCTTGAACTCTTGACCTCAAATGATCCACCCTCCTCGGCCTCCCAAAGTGGTGGGACTACAGGCGTGAGCCACTCTGCCCAGCCGCACTTTGCATGTACTCCTGTAGTTAGTTAGCCATGTATATTCCTCTGCTCTAAGATCACAGCCCTCTATCGAGCATGGAGTGTGTTCTTTCAACTGTTTATAACCAAACCATGGCACATAGTAGGCAATTAATAATTAGGCTGAAACAATACACTGATAAATGGTAGGATCAGTGTGAATACTGCTGGAGGCTGTGTGGGGAGGGAGAGTATCAAAGCACAGAGACGGGGTTAGATTGTGACACTTGAGGAGACATGAGAGATGCCAGCCTCATCAGAGAAGAGGTTGCAGGACAGCCACAGTAAGAAGCTGGTTAGGCCAGACGTGGTGGCTCACATCTGTAATACCAGCACTTTGGGAGGCTGAGGCAGGTGAATCATAAAGTCAGGAGTTCGAGACCAGCCTGGCCAGTATGGTGAAACCCCATCTCTACTAAAAATACAAAAATTAGCTGGGTGTGGTGGTGCATACCTGTAGTCCCAGCTATTCAGGAGGCTGAGGCAGAAGAATCACTTGAACCCAGGAGGCGGAGGTTGCAGTGAGTGAGATTGCACTACTGTGCTCCAGCCTAGGTAACAGAGCGAGACTTTGTCTCAAAAAAAAAAAAAATAAAATAAGCTGGTTAGATCTATACCATGAAAGACAGATGTTAAAATCAGTACAGGAAGCAACAGAGAGCCGTTGCAAGGTTTTTGAGCATTTATTATATCTAGACCACCTGCCATTGAGCCTGGAACCTCAGGTTTTTCAGAGGGTTTAACAAAGGCAGAAAAAGGTTTGAGAAATATCTACTTTGAACTACAGTCTGTCCTTCCTGAAAATATACTCACTCTCTCTTTTTTTTTTAAATGTCTCTAGTTTTCAGGAAAGTGGAATCACGGATTAACGACAAATTTAAATGCATCATAGCTCAGCTGATGAGGGAGACAGAGAGTCTGGCAAAGAGAATCTGCAAAGACCTCGGTAAGATAAATCTCATATTTTGTGTTTTCTCTATTTGGGAATAGCCATATATTGTTCACTATGGTCTTTTTACATTCTCCTTAGTTCTGACAATGTCAAGACCATATCCAGAGATAGTCTTCCTTAATTATACGTTATTTAGAAGCCTTATATGTCCTCCTTATTCTTTTTTTTTTCCTTTTTAAATCCAAAGTAAGTTCATCTGGACACCATACTTAAGTCAGTTCATTGCCTTCTTGACCTTCTAAATCAGCTTTCCCTCCTGAGTTTTCTATTTACCTGAATGAAGCCACCATTCCTTTGCTGGCTCAGATTCATACCTTGGGCTGATCACCTAGCACATTTCCTAGCACTAAAGGAGTGCGAGTAGAGATGGGCCAGGGGAAGACAGTGAGGGCCTGGCTTTGAATTTTATCCTAAAAACAATGGGAAAGAAATGAGAATTGAAAACTGATTAGTGATGTAATAAAGATATCAGTAAATGAGCAGGACCAAACAGAAGTCCAGTAGAGAAGGACTGGAGAAGGAAGGAGACACGTGAGAGGCTTCCAACTGGGAATGTTAGGACTGGATGGCTAACCAGATTTGGGTGGGGCTGAGGGAGGGGCAGGAAGGGCTGATTTCTTCTTAGGCTTCTGGCTTAGGCATCTGTAGGAATGCCAGTGGGTGGTCCTGGTTCCAGGACTAGAAGCAGTTTTGGCAGGTACAAAGTGAGTTTTGAGTTTTAGAGATGTTGAATGTGATGTCTGTAAGACACCTCGTGGTGTATCTCCATCTCTCACACTTACTTTGCTTTTCTCTTCCCTTTTCATTCATGGTTTAATTTCTATTCTAACTATTCTAACAGCCTTCTAGCTGGTTTTGCCTCCCTGAACTCTCTCTGCCACTCAATCCCTCGTGAACTAGTCTTCATCTTCATGAGTACATTTTATCATGTCACTGTCCTGCTTAAAAACCCTTTGCCTACAGGGTAATCTTCACACCTCTAACCTGCAGTCTGAGCTCTGCCTGAACAACTAGGTTCTACGTATCTTTCCATTGTTATCCTACTACTTCCCTACCTGAATCCTTTGATTTAGCAGTTCCCTGAATGTGTTCATTCACGTTTATTCATTTAGTGCTAAGGAATGTGCTAGATGATGGGAATACAGCACGAACCCTAAGTCACAGCCCCTGTCCTCAAGGCATTTCTAGTCTTATGGTAAAGCCAAAATTAGATGAGTAGTAGTAGTAATAAAGCAGCTGGTATGGTGGGGTGATAAAGGGTGTTTCAGGCAGAGGGAATAGCATATGCAATGGCTGGGAGGCTAGAAAGAGTATGGGGACTTCATTAGTCCTGTAAAATGCAGAAGTGAGAGTGGCCAGAAATGAGAAGCAAAAGCAAACAGATGCTAGATCATGGGGAGGAGCCTGTGAGCTGGGCCAGGACTTTGGCTGGAGGAATCCACTCAAGGCTTTTAAGCAATGGGGTAGAACCATTTCTCATCTGTAATTTTGCAAGCTCCCTCTAACTGCTGGGTAGAGAATGGGTTGGAAGGAAGAAGGCAAGAGGAAGGGAGACCAGTTTGGAGGTTGTCATGTTATCCAGTGGTACATGTGTTCTGAATTGGGGAAGTAGCGGAAGGATGGAGAGATGGCGATGGAGTCACGTGAGTTTCTATTTTCTTACTCCTCCTACCTCAGGTACCCTGCCTCCACCTTTTTGCCAGTCCAATTCCAGTTAGTTGCTCATTTCTAAATTGCTTAGGCTATTTTGACACCTACCCATGTTCAATCAGTATTTGTTGGCTCATCATCTTTACTGCTGGCCACCTTGTTATAGCTGCATCTTGGAAAGAAGCGTGTCACAGTACTACTTGTTTGGGTAGCCGCTATTGTTCCTATTACTGAAAATAGTGAGGGGAAGAATTTAACCCAGAAATGTAGCTCTTGCTTATGACTTTTTTGGTATTGTGCTCTCCATGAGGAGCCTGGGGAACTGATGCCAGAGTAACTCACAGACTCAGCTTCTTGAGAACACAGCCATACCCTCATTGTCGTTTTATCCCCAGCACCTTGCACAGAGCCTGGACCACAGCAGATGCTCCAGCTGTGAACCAAGCAAGTGAGGCTTAGCCTAACAGATGCACACAGACAGATGTATCCATAAGTGTCTTTTGAGGGCCTATTCTATTCTTGGCCCTGTGGATGCTGCTCTGGAGAACAGGAGGCCCACGTTCACAGCAAAGCAGAACATAGGCTGTGCTGATTTCTAAATCTCCTATCTATCTATCTATCTATCTATCTATCTATCTATCTATCTATGAATGAATGAATGAATGAGACAGAGTCTCACTGTCACAGGCTGGAGTGCAGTGGCTCAATCTTAGCTCACTTCAGCCTCTACCTCCTGGGTTCAAGCAATTCTCCTGCCTCAGCCTCCCAAGTAGCTGGCACTACAGGCATAAGCCAACACGCCCAGCTAAGTTTTGTATTTTTAGTAGAGATAGGGCTTCACCATGTTGGCCAGCATGGTCTTGATCTCTTGACCTTGTGATCCACCCACTTCAGCCTCCCAAAGTGCTGCAAATACAGGCTTGAGCCATGGTGCCGGCCAATCTCTTGCTTTTATGTATCCTTTTCCGATGAAACTCTTGAAACGTGTTATTTTTACTCACTTACTCATTTTTAAAGGCAAAGTGGGTTTTTCATGTCCATTGTTTTAATTCTGGACTTCTTGGTTGTCAGCTTGTAGAACCAGTAGAGCTTGGGCATCTGACACATGGGTTTGAATTCCTGCCCTTTCTCCACGTACTTGCTGTGTGAGTTTAGGTAAATTACTAAGCTTTTCTGAATTTTAGTTTCCTGATATATGAAATGTAATATGTATCTCAGGATTGTAAAAATTAAATGAAATTATGTATGTAAGGTTCTTTGATTCTTGGTACATAGTACTCAAGAAACACACACACACTCATAAGGTGTATCTCAGGGTTGTGAAAATTAAATGAAATGATGAATGTAAGGTTCTTTGATTCTTGTTACATAGTACTCAAGAAACACACACACTCATAATGTGTATCTCAGAGTTGTGAAAATTAAATGAAATTATGAATGTAATGTAGTTTGATTCTTGGTACATAGTACTCAAACACCCCCACCCACCCCACCACCCACCAGATGCACTGCTTAAAACTCATGAGAGGGAACAAGGCAAGAGGTGGGAAGACCAGTTTTGAGGTCATCATATTATCCAGCAGCACATTGATGTGTTCTGAATAGTGGAAGTAGCAGAAGGATGGAGAGATGGTGATGGAATCACTTGAGTTTCTATTTTCTTACTCCTCCCACCTCTTGTACCCTGCCTCCACCTTTTCACCAGTCTGAATCTAGTTAAATCTACTTAAGTCTAGTTAAAACTCATACTATTTCGGGAGGAATACCCTGTTTACACAGAGTAAGAAAGAAAATTAGGCCAGGTGCAGTGGCTCATGCCTGTAATCCCAACACTTTGGGCGGCCAGGGCAGGTGGATCACCTGAGGTCAGGAGTTTGAAACCAGCCTGACCAACATGGTGAAACCCTGTCTCTACTAAAAATACAAAAATTAGCCGGGCATGGTGGCATATGACTGTAATCTCAGCTACTCAGCAGCCTTAGGCAGGAGAATCACTTGAACCAGCGAGGCAGAGGTTGCTGTGAGCCAAGATCGTGCCATTGCACTCCAGCCTGGGCAACAGAGTGAGACTCCGCCTCAAAAAAAAAAAGAAGAAAATTAGAGGGTGAGGCCTGTTTATATCCCTAAATGACTGACCATATGACACAGTGACAAACTTTTTTTTTTTTTTTTTTTTTTTTTTTTTTTTCAGAAAACTTATCTCAAATTCAAAATAGGGAATTTGGAACACAAAAATATGAACAATGGATTGTTACAGTTCAGAAAGCATGCATGGTGTTCCAGATGCCAGACAAAGATGAGGAGAGCAGGATTTGTAAAGCCCTGTTTTTGTACACTTCACATTTGCGGGTATGTTCCTCCTTTTCAAAGTTACATTCTGGTCACAGCACCTACTGGGAGTGGCACTGTGGAAGCCAAGATGACATCAACTTCTCATCCTGTCCCCAAGAGCTCGATTAGGAACCTTTCCAGAAAGTTCTTAGGAAGCAAACTCCAAGTTACCCCATTCAGCATCATCTCAGTGTGCTTTCTGAAATTTCACATTGGAGGCAATAGGACTGAAATAAAAGGCTCAGAATCTATGCCATGCCTCTAGCATTAACTGTCATGGTTTGAAAAAAATTGGGTGATGGTTAGAGCACATTATTCCAGAAACGTGACCAGTCCAGCGACAGCCATCTTTAAAGTTCAGCAAGTGGGTTCTGTTGCCATGTCCTGAAGCATACGTTTCTTCACCTTTGGTGATGCCCCATGCTCAGAAATCCAGGTTCTCTGGCTAACCAAGAAGTTAAGGAACTACAGTGATAGCCATCAACTCTGCTTATCCAGCCATTGAGAATATTTTAAAATGTATTCAATCAGCATGCATTTGTAGAATTTTAATTAGCTTAGTTGGACAATTGATGGAGGTGGTCAGGGCATCATTTTGAAAGTGCAGTGACAATTTGGTGATGGCTTGAGATGTATATAGAAATCAAGTGAAATGTTGGAATTATGAGGCAGGTTGGTGTGGAAGTTGATGTACTTTCATTATTTTTTTTAAATTTTGATATGCGTTTTTCATGTTTTTCTTAGGTAGAATTCAAGAATCCAAAGTGATTATAATTAATGTAACCAGCTAATTGAGGTTTTTTAAAACAGTATTTGGTTCAAATGTTTTGTTACAGAACTCTTAGAAGCCATTCATCTTAAAAAAAAAAAAAAAACTAAAGCCATTCATCTTAAAAAAAAAAAAAAAAAACTAAGTTGGAATAGATTTGAAAAGTTTCCTTACAACTATTTCTTTAAATACAATGAATTGAACTTAAGTACAGTGAATGTGGTAGACACTGGAAGCATATTGAGACAGTTTTTGCTTTCAACAGAAATATAATGATGCCCTCATTATTAATGAGGACGCACGAATGAAGGATGCTCTGCATTACTTGAAAGACTTCTTCAGCAATGTCCGGGCAGCAGGATTCGATGAGACTGAACAAGATCTTACTCAGAGATTTGAAGGTGGGTGGTGGTTTCAGAGAAGGAAGCCGCTTGGGTCTGGTGACTGGATTGGCAATACAAACATGTATTATGTTTAATATACATAAACTTGGGAATGCTTAGGGAGTTGTCCTGGATGTAGGAAGGTGTAGATGGCAGGACTGTTTAGCTTCAGTGAAATCTAGTACCTATGAAAAGATTCTGTTGCTTATACTGTTCCCTATTTAGAAGAAGGAAGAAACAATAGGATTTGCAAAGGGTGTTTCCCATATGGTTCATAGACAGTAGCATTCTTTTGGTTTAACGTTCTTTTTTAGTAATTTTAAAAGAAAAAGTGTTTTAATGATATTAAAAAGACTATAATTTACATATACTTGAATTTTTTTTTTTTTGAGATGGAGTCTTGCTCTGTTGCCCAGGATTGAGTGTAGTAGCTCAATCATGGCTCACTGCGACTTCTGCTTCCCAGACGCAGGCAATTCTTGTGTCTCAGCCTTCTAAGTAGCCGGGACTGCAAGTGTATGCCAGCACACCTGGCTAATTTTTGTATTTTTAGTACAGACAGAGTTTTGCCATGTTGGCCAGATTGGCCTCGAACTCCTGACCTCAAGTGATCCACCTGCCTTGGCCTCCCAAAGTGCTGGGATTAATAGGCATGAGTCACTGCACTTAGCCTACATATACTTTTATATAAAGAGAAACCCAAAATGGCACGTTATCTCCCTGTCCGAATATGATTAAAAAAAAGATATGAAACAAAAGTTAAGTTTTCCCTCTCCCTGTTTTGAATTCTTTTCCCAAAGGTAATTACTGCTAATAATTTTGGGTTTTCTTGGCCTATAAGTATTTATTGTACATATGTGTAATCAGTGCTGTGCTGGTAAACATTTAACAATCCACTGGAGAAAAAAATCTATATATTTATGTGTATATATATATATATATATATATGTACATACATTTATATATGTATATATATGTACATAAGCTTATTTTATTGATATAGAAGATGTGTGCAGTACACAATTTACAAATAATAAAAATATAATATTCTTTATTGTAAATTCCAACATAGCCAGTTGACTCTCATAGAATGCTTCTGGTGGTTTTTGCAGAATTTTTGTATCCATGGCCATGGACAACCAAGGGTTGCAATGACAAAGAAGTATAGTTCTTTTTTTTTTTTTTTTTTTTTTTTTTGAGACAGAGTCTTGCTTTGTTGCCCAGGCTAGGGTACAGTGGCATGATCTCAGCTCACCTCCCGAATTCAAGTGATTCTCCTGTCTCAGTCTCCTGGGATGACAGGTGCCCACTGCTGCATCCAGCTGAGTTTTGCATTTTTAGTAGAGACTGGGTTTCATCATCTTGGCAGGCTGGTTTCAAACTCCTGACCTCGTGATCTACCCACCTCAGCCTCCCAAAGTGCAGGGATTATAGATGTGAGCCACCTTACCCAGCCAGAAGTATGGTTCTTTCTGATATGGTTGTTTTGTGCATATTTTCATTAATGCTAGAAGATGAAAATGAAAAAACAAAAGTGTATGTTGGAATTTAACTTGCTTGCCAATGATGCAAGTAATTTTTTGCTGAATTACATAATAGTCTTTCAAAAACTAGGAGAGTATTTCCTGAGTATTTTGTGCTATTCACAATGTAATAGCTAAATTTAATCTGCATTATTTTTTGATTATGTTTCTAAGTCTAGACTGTTAACAATAAATTAAGCCAGGCATGGTGGCTCACACTAACTTGTAACTGACATTTTGGGAGGCTGAGGTGGGTGGATTGCTTGAGTTCAGAAGCTGGAGATCAGTTTGGGAAGAATGGCAAAACCCCATCTCTACAAAAAAATACAAAAACTAGCTGAGCATAGCGGTATGCTCATGTGGTCCCAGCTACTTAGGAGGTTGAGGTGGGAGGATCACCTGAGCCTGGGAGGCAGAGGTTGCAGTGAGCCGAGATCGCACCACTGCACTCCAGCTTGGGTGATAGAGTGAGTTGTTGTCTCAGTCAGTCAGTCAGTCAAGCACTGATTTTTGGTGTTTTCTTGATTGCCATCGTATAACTGCTTCCACTGTAGTGAATTTCAAGCTACCAACATGATGTCATTGGACTAGTATTAAAAAGAGATGAGCAGCAGCACATCATTTTATAGTATTTCTACCATACAAATACAGTAGATGTAACTTATCTCAGAAATGTAGATCACTGTAAAAATAATAAAATTTAACAATTGGCTGGGCATGGTGGCTTCTGCATGTCAGCCTGTAATGCTAGCGCTTTGGTAGGCTGAGGTGAGTGGGTCACTTGAGGTCAGGAGTTCAAGACCAACCTGGGAAACATGGTGAAACCCCATCTCTACTAAAAATACAAAAAATTAGCCAGGTGTGGTGTCATGTACCTGTAATCCCCAGTTACTTGGGAGGCTGAGACAGGAGAATCACTTGAACTCAGGAGGCAGAGGTTGCACTGAGCCAAGATTGTGCCACTGCACTCCAGCCTGGGAGACAGAAGGAGACTCCATCTCAAACAACAACAACAACAAAAAACAAACTACAACAATTGACTCCCATAGTCCCATAATCTGGTATAATCTGGCTGTAGCATACCCCTGCTTTGTAACTATATATATGTATTTTTTTCTTTTCTTTTCTTTTTTTTTTTTTTTTTTGAGACAGAATATCACTCTCTTTCTTAGGTTGGAGTGCAGTGGCAAGATCTTGGCTCACTCCAACTTCTGCCTCCCAGGTTCAAGTGATTCTCCTGTCTCATCCTCCTGAGAGTTGGGATTACAGGTGCCTGCCACCATGCATGGCTCATTTTTGTATTTTAAGTAGAGATGGGGTTTCATCATGTTGACCAGGCTGGTCTTGAATCCCTCACCTCAGGTGATCCATCTGCCTTGGCTTCCCAAAGTGCTGGGATTACAGGCATGAGCCACTGCACCTGGCCTAACTATATATATTTTTGAAGATGGGAGCATACTGAACATACTGTCCTTGCCTTGATTTTTTTTAACCTTAAAGTATTTTCAATATCATACATATTCATGTACATAGCTCCCTTATTAATTTTAACAGCCACATTGTATTAACCTCAAATGCATAGCCCATATTCTATTGAACTGTTTCTCTATTGAGCACTTTGGTTTTCTGTTTTTCTTTTATATCTTACACAACGGTATAGTGAAATCCTTGGAGATCTCGTCCATAATTTTCTAAATATAACTGTGTCTAAAATTCTTAGATGTAGAATTATTGGATCAAAGGATGTATGTGTATTATGTTTTGATAGATATTGCCAAATTGCCTCTTAAAGGTTGTGCCAATTTGAATCAGTGGTTATTACTCATAAAATTCTGGTCAAAGATTTACAGATTAACTGAACGATAGCTAAAAGGCACAGTGTGTTCTAAATTTTTAGAATTGATAAGCCATTTATAAAATGTTTCCCATTTGCAGAAAAGCTGCAGGAACTCGAAAGTGTTTCCAGGGATCCCAGCAATGAGAACCCTAAACTCGAAGACCTTTGCTTCATCTTACGAGAAGAGTACCACTTAAACCCAGAGACAATAACAATTCTCTTTGTGAAAACCAGAGCACTTGTGGATGTAAGCTTTCTTTCTCCTTGTAGATAACAAATGAACCCAGCACTATGCATTGCAAAGATTGGGCTGGGTACGGTGTCTCACGCCTGTCATACCAGAAGTTTGGGAAGTCAAGACAGGAGAATTGCTTGGGGCCAAGAGTTCAAGACCAGCCTGGGCAACATAGTGAGACCTCATCTCTTAATAAAGAAGAATTAGTTGGGTGTGGTGCTGTGCAGCTGTATGTAGTTCCAGTTACTTGGGAGGCTAAAGGTGGAGGATTGCCTGAGGTTGCAGTGATTATGACAGTGTACTTCTGCATGTCAGCCTGAGCAACAGAGGTGGACCTTGTGTCTTTAAATTTAAAAAAAAAAAAAAGCTGTTTTTCTCTTTATAATCAGAAACTATGTATATGTGTGGGTCTGTTTTGGGGTTCTCTATTTGGTTCTGATTTTTTGTTTATCCTTACATGAATATTCTAATGCCTCACTGTCTTTTTTTCTTCTTCTTCATTTAGAGACATGGTCTCACTCTGTCACCTAGGTTGGAATGCAGTGGCGCAATCATGGCTCACTGCAGCCTCAACCTCTCAAACTCAAGTGATTCTCACACCTCAGCCCCATCTCCCACCATGCCTGGGACTGGACTATAGTCATGTGCCACCATGCTCAGCTAATTTATTTATTTTATTTTTGTAGAGATGGGGTCTTGCTATATTGCCCAGACTGGTCTTGAATTCCTGGCCTCACATAATCCTCCTACCTTGGCCTCCCAAAGTTGTGGGGCCTGGCTTCATGCTGTCACTGTGTTAAGCATTCTAATTATAAGTCTTGATACTTACAGAGCAAGCACGTCGTCTTCTTTTTTTTTTTTTTTTTTTTTTTTTACTTTAAATGTTAGTTATTTTATGGGTAGGTAATGATACTATATTTTTAATTTGCATTTCACAAATGATGAATATGACTGAACATCTGTCTTACGCTTATCAGCTGTCTGTATCTGCTTTGGTGAGGTGTCTGTTATCTTTTGCCCATTTAAAAATTGGTTTATCATCTTACTGAGTTTTTGAGAATTATTTTTATAGTCTGACAAAAGGAGTCCTCTGTCAGAAATGTGATTTGCAAATATTTTCTTCTGGTCTGTGCCTTATCTTTTATTCTCTTTACTATCTTTTGCAGATTGAAAGTTTTAAGTTTTGACAAAGTGCAGTATATCAATTTTTTTAATGGGTTTTTGCCTGTGGTATTATCTCTAAAAATGTTTTGCTTACCTAAGGCCACAAAGATTCTAACTATGTTATTATCTAGAAAGTTACAGTTTTACATTTTACATTTGGGTCTGCAGTCAATTTTAAATTAATTTTGTATAAGTTGTGAGGTATTGGTTGAAATGCTTTCTTTCTTTCCTTTTTCCTTTTTGTATGTGGACATCCAGTTGTTCCAGTTCCTTATGTTGACAAGACTATCCTTTACTCATTGAATTGCCTTTATAACTTCTGAAAACATCAGTTGACTCTATTTGCATAGATCTGTTTCTGGATTCTCTATTTTATTGACCCATGCATATATCTCTTCACCCAGTCCATGCTGTCTTGATTACTATAGCTTGATAGTAAGTCTTGAAATGGGGTGATGTGAGTCCTCCAATTTTTTTTTAAAGGTTGTTTTTAGCTACATTCCTTTGCCTTTCCATATACATTTTAGAGTCAGCTTGTCCACATCTATGAAAAGGTCTACTGGGATTTTATTGAATCTGAACATAAAATTGAGGCCAGATGTGGTGGCTCCAATGCCTGTAATCCAAGCACTTTGGGAGGCCACCATGGGTGGATCACTTGAAGTCAGGAGTTTGAGACCAACCTGGCCAGTATGGAACCAACATGAAACCCTGTCTCTACTAAAAATCCAAAAATTAGCCTGGCACGGTGGCTTGCCCCTGTAATCCCAGATACTTGGGAGGCTGAGGCAAGAGAATTGCCTGAACCTGGGAAGCAAAGGGTGTGGTGAGTTGAGATTGCACCACTGCACTCTAGCCTGGGTGACAGAGTGAGACTTGGTCTTGAAAAAATATTTTTAAAATACATAACGATAAAATTGGGGAGAAATGACATCTTGACAATATTGAGTGTTCAAATCCATGACCATAGTATATCTCTTTATTTACATATGGCTTCTATATTAGTTATATATTGCTGAGGAACAATTACCCCAAAACTTAGTGTCTAGAAACAACAAACATTCATTATCTAACAATATCTATGAGCCATGAATCTGGAAACAGTTTAACTGGGTGTTTCTGGCTAAAGATCTCTCATGAGGCTGCAGTGAAGGTGTTGGCCATGGCTTCACTCAAGGCTTGTCTGGGGGAGGTCACTTCCAAACTCCTCTAATATGGCTGTTGGCAGACGGGCCTCTGAGTTCACTACATAGATCTACATCACAGACAGGCAGTTGGCTTCCCCTAGAGTGAATGATCCCAGAGATTGAGAGAGAAGGTATCTAATTTGGAAACCACAGTCATAACTTCATCTTGGAAATGATGCCACATTGCATCTATTGTATTTTATTCATTAGAAACAAGTCAGGAAGTCCCCTTCACACTCGGGGGAGGGGATTACATGAGGATCTGAATACAGAAGGAGGAGGTAAATTGAGGGCTACCTTAGAGGTGAATAACCACATGTTCTTTGGTTTATCAGTGTTTTGTCATTTTCAGCAGATTCTGCACATATTTTGTTAGACTTAAACCTAGGTATTAATTTTTTGATGCTATTATAAATGGTACTTTAAAAGTTTTTTGTTTTGTTTTTGTTTTTGTTTTTGAGACAGGGTCTCACTCTGATTGCTTAGGTTGGAGTATACTAGTGTGATCACAGCTCACTTGCAGCCTCAACCTCCCTGGCTCAGGTGATTCTCCCGTCTCAGCCTCCCCAGTAGCTGGGACTGCAGGTGTACACCACCATTCCCAGCTCTTATTTATTTGTTTTTGAGATGGAGTCTTGCTCTTTCACCCAGGCTGGAGTGCAGTGGCATGACCTCGGCTCACTGCAACTTCCGCCTTCCAGGTTCAAGAGATTCTCTGGCCACAGCTTCCTGAGTACCTGGGACAACAGGTGCATGCCACCATGCCCAGCTAATTTTTGTATTTTTAGTAGAGACGGGGTTTTGTTGTCTCTTGAACTCCTGGGCTCAAGTGCCTCTCCTGCTTCGGCCTCCCAAAATGCTGAGATTATAAGTATGAGCCACTGTGTCCAGCACTTAAAAACTTTAGAAATTCCCATAGTTTGTTGCCAGTATGTAGAAGTCAATTGATTTATATATATGGATCTTATGTCCTACAGTCATGCTAAACTCACTTATTAATTCTACATAGCCACTATTTTGAACTTTGCATTTTTCTCTTAAAAATGTCTTAGAGATTAAACCATATCAGGTCACAGAGATCTATGCCATTACAGTTAATTATTACATACAGTTCAGTTCCAAAGTGCTTTTTTTCTCAGGTGTGTCAGTCTGAAAATTGCATGTATACTAAGTTTTTTTTCTTTTTGCATGTATTTCAATACTGGATTAATACAAATGATTTATAAGGAGTGTCCAATTGATAATTGCTTTTCATTTTCAGGCTTTAAAAAATTGGATTGAAGGAAATCCTCAACTCAGTTTTCTAAAACCTGGCATATTGACTGGACGTAGCAAAACAAATCAGAACACAGGTATTTATATACAGTGAATTAGATTTTATGTATTTAAGAATGTGTATGTATTTATATATATATATATTTATTTCAAATTCTGTTTTAATGCTTGTAACCAGAGAACCAAAAGCAGTAGGTGATTATACATATATATGGGAGGCGAACGTTTATGTATATGTGTCCACATATGCACACATACAGAGATTTCTTGGAAGGAGTTACCTTACACAATTGGGCTTGCAAAGTGAGTCTGAAGTCTGTAGAGCAGGTAGTTAGGAAGGGACCATCAGGAACAAACTGGAAGCCCACAGGCATGAGCTGTTTGGAGTCTCTGAGCTGAGAAGGCCCAAGCTATCATTTAAAAGGCTTGCCTGATTAGACCAGGCCCACCTAGAATGAACTCTCTTTTGATCTGGCTTAAAGTCAACTGATTAGGGACTTGAATCATTTCTGTAAAATCTCTTCGGAGCAGTACCTTATGAATTACCAGGAACTGTTTTTGGCCTAGCCAAGTTAATGCATCAAAAAGCCATCACAGTGCTTAAATGCCAAAAACCACTCCAGTCTCTTTCCTTGTAGATGGTGCCTCCTCTCATATGTCCTGCAGACAAAGCCAAGGTTGTTTTTAAAGTCCTGCTTGAGCATATTATTATCCTGCTCAAATTCTTAACCAGTAGATTAACTGGAAATAGAAATGTCTGTTTCTGTTTTATTGTTCTTCAAGTAGTAGATATGCATAGCTTTTGTGTGTATTATATATTTTACAATTTAAAAAAGTCCAAGCAGAGAATTCTGAAATCTAGCTAGAGTGGTCAAAGGATAAAAGACTGCCTGTGTTATTATCTTGGAGGATCCTAGGTGGCCTGCCCTCATCCTGACCTTCTCACAGCTGTGCCCCCCACCCCTCAGTGACTGGCGGTGACAAGTCTTCCTATTTAGTGTTGTTTATAATAAGCACCCTCCCAAACCCTCCCTGTCAGTCCTCAGTTGCCACCCTCGCACTTTCCCTTCATGTAATTTTTAAACTTCATAAATATGAAAAGCAGATTCAGATCTTAAAAAGTGGCTCAGCAAATGAAGTCTAATACCATATTCTCATGGTTGGGATTCAAAGTTCTCTGCGATCTGACTCCAGCATGAGTGCCACTTGGTTTTCAAACTTTGTTATTTCCCCACAATTAAACACTCAGGAAATATTTTCTGATTGGTTTCTTCATGGATTCATCCATTCATTCAGCAACATTTATTTTATAACTTATGCTGTGTCAGGCATTGTGCTTCTGCCATGTAGCCTTCCCCAACCTCCAAACACTGGTAGAGATAGCCTTCCTCCACATTCCCATAGCATCCTTGCTGTGCTCATCACACTCAATTATAGCTTCCTATTTATGTTTTTCTCCCACAAAATATGAGCTCCTTATGGATAAAAATGGACCTTGTAATCATTATTTTTTTTACCTGACAAGCCATAATTGCTGAACATATGTTTGACTGAATAGATGAATAAATTAAGAAATTAATCACATGTGATGTCTGTTCTAGAGATGCTCATTGTTTAGTGGATGATGATGGTGAAAAGAAATTGTTAGCTGAGTGTGGTGGCTCATGCCTGTAATCCCAGCACTTTGGGAGACTGAGGCAGGTGGATCGCCTGAGATCAGACATTAGAGACCAGCCTGGCCAACACAGTAAAACCCCATCTCTACTAAAAAGGCAAAAAATTAGCTGGATGTGGTGGCAGGTGCATGTAATCCCAGGTACTAGGGACGCTGAGGCAGGAGAATTGCTAGAACTCTTGAGGTGGAGAGTGCAGTGAGCTGAGATCACACCATTGCACTCCAGCCTGGGCAACAAGAGTGAAGCTCCATTTCAAAAAAAAAGAAAAGAAAATGTTTTGACCTGAGCAAAATATATCTCAAGATTTAGCCTGGAAATATATTAGGAAAAAATTGGAACTTTTATTATTTTTTAATTTTTATTTTTGAGACAGAGTCTTGCTCTGTTTTCTAGGCTAGAGTGTAGTGGCACAAACACCTCACTGCAACCTCCCAGGTTCAAGCGATTCTCGTGTCTTAGCCTCCCAAATAGCTGGAATTACAGGTGCATGCCACCATGCCCAGCTAATTTTTGTATTTTTAGTAGAGACAGGATTTTGCCATGTTGGCCAGGCTGGAGTTGAACTCCTGACCTCAAGTGATCTGCCACCTTGGCCTCTCAAAATGCTGGGATTACAAGTGTGAACCACTATGCCCAGCCAATTGGAGCTTTTATAAATTCTGTTAACTCTGAAGTAGAGACTTCTGAAGTATTTTGTTCACTCAGTTTATCAGTGTGACCTTTATAGCTTTTATCCAATGGGTTAAACTTGATTTACCAGGTAATTAGATGATTTTCGCTGAATTTTCTTCTGGTCTGATACTCTTTTTTTCACAGTTAAGCTAGAAAAATTGTGAACTTTTACAAAAAGCTGCAGGTAAACAAGCAAAAGTTGTTGAATTTGTATATTTCTAAATTTCCATTTCTTAATATCCTATTTTGTAAAGAAGCAGGTTATCTAACCTCTTCATGGCTTACTATCTTCATCTGTCAAATGGAAAAATAATACACAGTCTTGTGGCAGAGTCTAGCTCAGAGTACCTAGCTGAGAGGGTTAATATCAGTAGCAAGCTCTGACTCACCGCCTGCTTATTAATGACTCTTGAGCTAAATAAGAATGATTTTTGTTTGAAAAAAAATCAAAAGAATATTTCATGACATGTGAAAGGTTTTTGAAATTAAAATTTCATTGTCTATGAAATAAATTTTGGGGGGAACATAGTCATGACCATTCATGTATGTATAGTCTTGTGGGTACTTTCACACTATAATGGCAGTGTTGAGTAGTTACAACAGCATGGCCCACAAAGCCTGAAGTATTTACTGTATACCCAGTTCTTGATGGAAAAAGTTTGCCAACTCTTGGTTTTGAACAATGCCTGGCATGTGGTGAGTGCTCAATATATGTTACATGTTAGCCATTATTCACATCCAGAACGTTTATATAAAGGTCCACAATGTTCATCATTTGTTTGGTTTTAATTTTACTGAGAATACATGTATTCAAAAAGGATAGAACGTACGTATCTTTAAAAAAAGTATTCTGAATAAAGAAAGCTCAAAAGTAAAATCAAAATAATGTTTAGGGATTGATTTTTAAGCAACTTTCTGAATTTTCATGACTTTGAATGATATAATTCAAAAAACCACAAGGGATCTTTTTCCACAAATTCCGAGTCTACTGCCAGCTAGGCAGTGGAGCGTTACTTCCTCTACCTGCCTGTGGTGGGTCTGCCCTGTGAACAGCGAGTGGAGATCAGGTGATTCTACTAATAGATAAATGCAGATGTCTTCAGGATCCACAAAGTTTGAAGTGTGCATATTCTTGGAGCCACCATTTTGGGTGTTTGCCATGATCACACAAACTGGGTGATTATCACATCTGAACTTCACAGTGTATTCCGACAGTTTAAATTTAGCCTCCACTGTCACAGGATATTAGAAGGCAGTATGTGTCTGCTTAGTCAAGATCCTTTCTTTTCTCCAGTTAACAGAAACCCACTTAGGCTAGTCTAAGCTGAAGGGGGTGTGGCTGCTACAAATATAATTGGGTCTACCATAGAAGCCACATCCTGGAAGTACAGTCAGGCTTCATGGACAATTGAACTGGGACTGGACAATTGTCGGAATCCTGCACATCTGTTTCACACTTCTCCCTTTACAGATTGCGCTCTCTGCTTCTCCATTCGTGACTGCCCTACATCTTCCTGATTTACTATCTGTCTCCAAATCTCAATTTCAGATTCCAGGAGGGAGAATTGGATTGGCCCAACATGGTTCAAATGCTTATTTCAGTGCAGTAGCTGCAGCTAGGAACAGCCTGTGTATAAATCAGGATAATTTAATTGCTCTAACAGACAACCCCCACGATCGCAGGGGCAGGGGCAGGGGCAGGGGCAGGGGCAGGGGCAGGGGCAGGGGCAGGGGCAGGGGCAGGGGCAGGACAGAATAAAAGTTAACAGCTCGGTGGGGTGTGGTGGCTCAAGCCTGTAATCCCAGCACTTTGGGAGGCTGAGGCGGGTGGATCACGAGGTCAAAAGATCAAGACCATCCTGGTCAACATGGTGAAACGCTGTCTCCACTAAAGATACAAAAAATTAGCTGGGCATGGTGGCGCGTGCCTGTAATCCCAGCTACTCAGGAGGCTGAGGCAGGAGAATTGCCTGAACCCAGGAGGCGGAGGTTGCGGTGAGTGGAGATCCCGCCATTGCACTCCAGCCTGGGTAACAAGAGCGAAACTCCGTCTCAAAAAAAAAAAAAAAAAAAAAAAAAAGTAAATAGCTCACACTCACAGATATAGGTAAGTAGGGATGGGGCTCTGCTCACTCACACTCCTGTGTAGATAGGTTGGGGTGGGGGCCCTGCTCCATGCACTTCCACTTATTTCAGGGACCCAGGTTCCTTCCTTGGTATGGCTATGTCATCAAAGGGGTCTCCAGATCCTCCACTGTGACCTTATCTAGTCCATTGATGAGAAAAAACAAGAACATGGACAATTTTTAGGGGTCAGGTTTGGAGGAGACATACATGACCTCTGTCTACATGCCATTAATGACCATTTAGATTGAGAAGTATAATTCAGCTGTGTATGCCCAGCAGGAGAAAGAAACAGGATTAGTGAGCAGATGGCATTGCCTCTTTCATAGAGAAACATAATGCAACTGTATTATGGGTGGATGTGGTAGAAAATGATTCTTAGAGAACAGTTTGTGTATGGGGAGGCAGACACCCCAGCAGTGCACACTATTAGGGTCTTAACCTGACGGTCGAGGCCCAGCGGTGCTGATAGCTAGCCTGCGAGTTTACCTCACTTCTGGAACCTCCAGCCTCTCATTTGTGTCTTTTTTTTTTTTTTTTTTTTGAGATAGGGTCTCACTCTGTTGCCCAGGCTGGAGTGCAGTAGTGCCATCATGGCTCACTGCAGCCTCAACTTCCCTGGCTCAGTTGATTCTCTTACATCGGCCCCCTGAGTAGCTGGGACTACAGGCATGTGCCACCATGCCCAGCTAATTTTTAAATTTTTTGTAGAGATGAGTTATCGCTGTATTAACCAGGCTGACTTTGAAGTCCTAGACTCAAGTGATTCACCTGCTTTAGCCTCTGAAAGTACTATGATGATAGGCGTGAGCCACCCTACCTGGCACGGGTCTCACTGTTAAGGGGAATCATAATACCTGTTGACCTATAGGGCTTTATGATACTCTGGTGAGTGAGATGTGAAAATATTTTGTCAGCTGTAAATTATACACATGTAAAGGTGTTACAATAGGCTGTTGATATTTCTTCAAAAAAGTCTATTTCTTGGAAAATATGGCTAAAGCCATACTGAGATACATACAGAGCTGGGATTTGAACTCAGTCTTGTGGCAGTCTAAGCTGTTAGATACCACCCCAAATGACCTCTCTGAAACAGGCATAGAAACAGACCCCACTGCTAAGGTGTGTTGTGAGATCATGGATATAAAGTAATAATGACAGTACTTGGCATGTAATAAGCATTCCATAATTAGTAGCTATTTTTTCAAGGGTAAAGTTCCTTCTTTGGTGAGTTGTATAATGCCGTCTTACTCTGATTCAGGAATGACTCTCCCAGCACAGAAGTGTATATTGGATTCATTTAAAGCCCACGGAGATCACAATATTCTGATTGCCACCTCAGTTGCTGATGAAGGCATTGACATTGCTCAGTGCAATCTTGTCATCCTGTATGAGTATGTGGGTAATGTCATCAAAATGATCCAAACCAGAGGTAAGAGAAGCTTTGAGGCCATTCCTATGTGGCTTCTGTTTTGACTTGTTTATAAGTGTATCCATCATTCTGGCCTTTCTCTTTACCGAGCTGTGGTTGAGATGTGACCAGTGGCACAGTGTGCTTTGGTATCATTGACCCTCAAGGTGGCTTATGTTTATTGTTCACTAACATAAACCCTATTTTGCTTCTTATTCACAATGATACTGCTAACTTGCCTGGCCTTGACTGATATATTTATGGGAGAATAATTTCAACTTGGATCAAAGCTTTGCCAGTCAAGATGTAGACCTTTCGTGGTGGTGCTGGTGGGCTCGTGGGCTCCCTGTATTCAAGAAGGGATACTCCAGAGTTCTGCCCCACCTGGACTAGACTGGTCTCCTAATTAGTCTTCTCTCCTTTTTCCTTTTTTTTCCAGTTTCCATAAGAACAGCTACCACATTACTTTTCCTGAAAAACAGCTCTGATCATGTCACTTCCTTGTATTGAAACACCAGTGGTTCCCCAATTTACTTGATGCTGAAGAGTTTCCAAAATCCAGAACCCATTTCTTTCCGACTTTACCTCCTGTTCTTCCCTTCTGTTCATTATCCGCTTTTGCCAACCTGACTTCCTCATTTATTGCTTGTTGAAGGAACTGCTACTCTTCATTTTACCTCTTCCTCTGCCTCCATATCACCTGACCCTAATTCTCCCAGCTGGCAATAATTTCTCTTTTGAATAAATATAAAGCCTATAACCCTTTATCCTTGTAATAGCACTTAAAATTTTCCACCTATGTTTTGCGGGTTTTGAACAGATCTCATTTCCCCATTGTCTAGCAGGGGAAGTCTCCCTCTTGAAGAAGGGTCTGTTTATTACTCATCTCAGAGCCATCACAGTGTTATACTGGGGGTCATGTAGTATCTTTAAAGCAGTGTTTCTGACAGTATGGCTGTCTGATCACTCTGCATTGTTGAGACCCTGAGAAAACCAGCCTAAGGTGGGCTCCTAGTTTTTCCACATACCTAACATGCAGGTGCACACTTGCATTTGAGTCTACTTTTTTTTTTTTGAGATGGGTCTCACTCTGTCATTCAGGCTAGAGTGCAGGGTATAATCCTAGCTTACTGCAGCTTTGTACTCCTGGGCTCAAGCAGTCCTCCTGCCTCATGAATTTACTCTTTAACAGCTCAGCTTTCCTGAGAAGTGGGATTCAGTGAACCAAAGTTAATTTTAGGAGTACCTCTATCTATTTGTTTACCTATTTTCAGATTATATCAGAACTTTTTAAGTCATAAACACCAACTAAAATATTTATTTTCTGATAGGTAGAGGAAGAGCAAGAGGTAGCAAGTGCTTCCTTCTGACCAGTAGTGCTGCTGTAATTGAAAAGGAGAACATAAACATGTACAAAGAAACAATGATGAATGACTCCATTTTACGCCTTCAGACATGGGATGAAGCAGAATTTAAGGAAAAGGTAAGTCTGTGTTATTCTTTCTGCTTCTGACCACATATAGCTATCAAGGAATGTGAGCATGGTTGGTACCTTTTATCATATTGCTTAGGGTGTTATAGTAGAACAAAAACTTTATACTTAGTTTTGCCCTCTAGTGAATATCAAATTTATTCTGTTTTTAAGTGCCAGTGAGGTTAAATTATATTAATAGTGCTAATATCTGGAGTTACGTTTTCAGATCTAAAAGGCAAATTGAGCTAGGATTTCTCTAGTTGACAGCTGATCTCGAGGACTACATCCTAATACTGGAAGAAACAGCTCTTTTTCGTCTCTTCCTTAAATCTCTCTCTCCAGAGAGTTTGGGGTTTGGGTTTCAGCATCCTGGTCCCTGTATATGGGTTTTAATGGAAGGAAGGAACTCTGCAGAAGAGAGGGCAAAAGCTTGGAGCTGTTCAGGGCAATCTGCAAGAACAGGGAAGGGAGAGGGATGAACAGAAGGTACCAGGAGACTGCTCTCTTTCCCAGCTCCCTGGCTGTGCTGTCCATTGTCTGTGTGTGGTCTGCTGTCACTAGCGCACTCCCCACCCCCCATCCTGGAATTCTCTGGTCACTCCGCAGCCATCTTAACATGTAGATTGTTGGACACTCTGGATGGACATTTCAGGATTTGATATTTCATTCTGGAGGAATAAGGGAGGAAGGGTATGACAGTTGTGGTTGTGAAGGTTTATTTGAAATCAAAATGAGGAAGCTGCTTTTCTTTCCTCATGGAGCAGAGAACAAAGACGGGGTGAAAGAAAGTTCATTTTGAACAAAGAACTTCCAACATGTATACCCAGCACTACACATAATTGAGATAGTTTTGCTTTTCTCCACCTCAGTGTGTGGAGCTAGGCTTCTTTTTTAGCCACAAGTTGAATGGGTGGGGGTCAGTATGCCATAGACTTAACATAACTGGTTGAGCCTCTGTACCCAGTTACTGATTTTTACTTAGATTTAAGTATAGCAGTAATAGTTTTAACTTGTTAGGATTTATATCCATTGTCTAGAGTAACATTTAAAATATTTGAGATTATTAGTATTTAATTGAATTTCTGTATTATAATTGAATACCATTATAAGTGAATTTTTTTTAAAGTTGGTTGCCTGAAAGGCAAAGTTACATTTTTACCTTCTTTCTTGCTGACCTTTATTCTGCCTTAAGTAGTGATTAGAACCATATCTGAAAAAAGAAATTAAATAAAAAAAATTAATTTCTCCTAGGAAAACATGTATCATTAACCCAGGGATTTTAATTCTAGAAATTTATTCAAAGGAAATAATGGGATAAATATATATAATGTAACAATTTTACAACAGCAAAAAATTGGATTTAAAAGCAGGAGGCCTGAACACTCTTTATTTTTACAAAAACAATGAAGATAATTTCAGGTGGGATGGGGCCAAGAAGTGGGGAAGGGGTAATTATATTTGGTTTTTACCTTTTTAAAAATTTATTTCTTACTTATATTTTTGAGACAGCGTCTCACTTTGTCACCCAGGCTGGAGTGCAGTGGCACAATCTTGGCTCACTGTACTCAGCCTCCCAAGTAGCTAGGACTACAGGTGTGTGCCACCACGTACCACTAATTTTTGTATTTTTAGTAGAGATGGGATTTTGCTGTTACCCAGGCTGGTCTTGAACTCTGGACTCAAGTGATGTGCCCGCCTTAGCCTCCCAAAGTGCAGGGATTACAGGCTGGGATTATGGGTGTGAGCTGTGGTGCCCAGCCAGTATATTCGTTTTTTTTAATCAAAACATTCTAGGTCTAGCTGGGCATGATGGCTCCGACCTATAGCCCCAGCTATGTGGGAGGATAATTTAAACCCAAGAGTTCAAGTCCAGCCAAGGCAACATCATGAGAATCTGTCTCAAAAAAAAAAAAAAAAAAAAAAAGGAAGCCAGGCACAGCAGTTTGGGAGGCCGAGGTGGGTGGAAAACCTGAAGTAAGAAGTTCAAGACCAGCCTACCCAACATGGTGAAACCCTATCTTTACTAAAAATACAAAAATTAGCTGGATGTGGTGGCACCTGCCCGTAATCCCAGCTACTTGGAGGCTGAGGCGGGAGAATCACTTGAACTCAGGAGGTGGAGGTTGCAGTGAGCTGAGATTGTGCCACTGCACTCCAGCCTGGGTGACAGCATGAGACTCTGTCTCAAAAAAAAAAAGTCTAAATTTTTTTATTTAAAGCAAATTTGAAGTGGTATGGATATCAGTAAGTTCGCTATGTATGATCAATAATAAATTAACAGATATAATTGGGAGGAGATTTCCATTCACAGTGACAATAATAACTGCAGCTCACGCATGCAGCACACTGACTCCAGTCTCTGCAAACGCTTTCCTTACATCGATAGGCTTTATGGCAATCTGTACAGTAGTGCCTCCTATGTCATTTTATAGGCAGGAAACTGAGATTTGAATAGCTTCAGTACTAGTAGATCACACAGCTAGTTCATGGTGAAGTTGGTAAAGCCCATCTGTTTAACCATGACATCTAACAGCCTAATCAGAAAAGTTTGAAGCAGAAATGAGGACAAATACAAAAATTTTACTGGGAGATGTAGAAGTATATTAAGACAAAAGAAAAGGAATGCCATGCTCTTGAATGGAATGAATATTTTAAACACGTGCATTCACCCCAGATTAGCTTATTTACTTACCACAATCCATATTGAAAGCACAAGTGATACTCTTAATTTGATAAAATGGTTCCAGAGTTTATATAAAATAATAAATAGGCGAAAATAGCTATGATATTTCTAGAAAAATAAATATGGGGGTGGCTAGTAGCTTAGTATTGATAAGGCAATCCCTAATGAATGGAGATTGGCTTATCAATACAAAACTACAACCCACCTCATTAACAGTTTCATGGCTCTTAGCATAAGACTAGCCTAACAGAGGGAGGCAACGCTGATGGGCATTTACCCTGTGCGGGGCAGGCCTGAGCAGTCATAAACTCATGTTACCTCCTGACAGTCTATGAAGCAGATGCTATTATACCATTTTGTATATAAAGAAACAGAGGCACTTGCCCAAAATCATAGCGTTGCTAAGTGGCAGGGACAATCTTTGCACCTAGGCTGTCTGGCTCCACCTGGGACACTTGAAAGCATGATCTCATGGGGAGAGGCACCACAATAAACCAGTGGGACGGACAGAATCTTCCATAGAAGACATGGAGGAAATCAGCATGTTCTTTCTTCCTTCATGATGTTTCAGGGTTCCTTTTATCATTTCCTCTGTTTAGAAAGTTTCCTTTAACCATTCTTACAGGGTAAATCTGCTCATGACAAATTCTTAGTGTTCCTTCATCTGAGAATGTCTTCATTTCTCCTTTATTTTTGAAGGTGGCATTTTGCTGAGTCTAGGATTCTGGGGTGACCGTTCTTTTCTTTTGGCATCTAAAAAATATTGTGCCACTTCCAGGTGGCCTCCATTGTTTCTGATCACAAATCCCCTGTTATTCAGACTGATTTCCCCCTGTGGGTAAGGTGTCATTTTTTTTTCCTGGCTGTTTTCAAGATTTTTCTCTTCAGTTTTCATAAGTTTAGTTATAATGTGTCTCAGTGATTTTTGGAGGGGCTTATCCTCTTTGGAGCTTGTTCAGCTTCTTGAATCTTGGTTGATGTAGCTTGTTAAATTTGGGTTATGTTTGGCTGTTACTTCTTTGAATACCTTTTCAGCCCTGCTCTCTCTCCTCTCCTTGTTGAACTCCAGTGCCATGACACATGTTTTATAGTCCTGCGGGTCCTTGAGACTCTGCTTTCCCCCCCCGCCCCCAGTGTATTTTTGCTGTTGTTCAGATTGGATGGTTTCTATTCTTTCAGTTCACTGACTCTTCTCTTTGTCCCTTCCATTCTATGGAAAGCCCAGCCATTGAACCTTTTATTTGGTTATCATCTCTTTCTGTTCTAAACTTTGTCTTCCATTTCATTGTTTGAGCCTTTATGTTTTCTTTTTATGTTTCAAAAGTGTTTGTAATTGCCCATCAAAGCATCTTTATCAGGTGCTTTCAAATCTTTCTCATCTCAGTGTTGGCATCTATTGATTGTCTTTTTTTTTTTTTTCATTCAGTTGCAGATCTTTCTGTTTATTGGTATGAAGAGTTTTATATCATGTCCATGGTTCTAAGTTGGACCATATTCTTAGCCAAGGCCTAGCCTAGATTTTGAATTAGAATACAATTGTTCTATACATATACAGCAACATTCCCTGTTGCTGAAAGTGAGAGAGAAAAAGATTTTAGATGTTGGGGGCTGTATTAGTCTGTTTTCATGCTGCTGATAAAGACGTACCTGAGATTGGGAGGGGTGAAAGAGAGGTTTAATTGGGCTTACAGTTCCACATGGCTGGGGAGGCCTCAGAATCATGGCGGGAGTCTAAAGGCACTTCGTATGTGGCAGTGGCAAGAGAAAATGCGGAGAAAGAAGCAAATGCGGAAACCCCTGATAAACCCATCAGATCTTGTGAGACTTATTCACTATCAGAATAGCACAGGACATACCCCATGATTAAATTATCTCCCTCGGGTCCCTCCCACAACATGTAGGAATTCTGGAAGATACAATTCAAGTTGAGATTTGGGTAAGGACACAGTAAAACCGTATCAGGGGCTCTTCTGCCTGCTGTATCACTCATTGCGTTTGTGCCCGAAAATGGATATAATTACTCCTGAAACAGCACATATTCTTATCTGGTACAGGTTTTGGTTTTTCAAGTTTTGCCTGTTCTGTGGACATCTTTAGTGCTTTTATGAGCATTTTTGATGAAGAAATTGAAAGACTAATTGGAGGCTACAATTAAGCATTGATTAATATCAAGTTAGGAAAAGCAATAAAATCTGCAGCTTTACAAAGTCAGGTACCATATGTTTATGGAAGTTGTATATGAATAATTATATATGTGTATACATGTATATGTATGTATATATCTGTGCCTATTTCTATACCTTTAATACTCAAATTACATTTGAGTTCTTTTTGCATTAGATTCTGCATATACAGATTCATGAAAAATTCATCAGAGATAGTCAAGAGAAAACAAAACCTGTACCTGATAAGGAAAATAAAAAACTGCTTTGCAGAAAGTGCAAAGCCTTTGCATGTTACACAGCTGACATAAGAGTGATAGAGGTAAGCTGCCTTTTTTATAAAGAATTCCTGGTTATGTTTTAGCACTAGCTAAAGCTTACTGTCTGTTGATGAAGCTAAAGCTTACTGTCTGTTGATGAAATATTTATAGTAAAACCACTATTTCCATTGTTATTATGGCCATGATCTATGTGTTTTTAAAAAGTTAAGAAGTGAAAAAGAAATCTTAAATGTTCAATAATAAAGAAATTGTTTTTGGCCAGGCATGGTGGCTCACACCTGTAATCCCAGCACTTTGGGAGGCCGAGGTGGGAAGATCGCTTGAGCCCAGGAGTTCAAGTGCCAGCCTGGGCCACATAGACCCCATCTCTAAAAAAAAAAAATTAGTTGGGCTTGGTAGCATGCGTCTGTAGTTCCAGCTGCTCAGGAGACTGAGGTGAACTGATTATTTGAGCCTGGGAGATCAAGGCTGCAGTGAGCTGTGACTGCACCACTGCACTCTAGCCTGGACAACAGAGGTAAGACCCTGGCTCAAAAAAAGAAAAAAATGGTTAAAAAAAAAAGTTGTACAGCCACTTACTTAAATATCACACCATTAATATCAGCCATTAAAAACAATGGTTAGGTTGGGCGTGGGGGCTCACACCTATAATCCTAGCACCTTGAAAGGCTGAGGGAGGTAGATCACCTGAGGTCCAGCCGGGCCAACATGGCGAAAGTCTGCCTCTACTAAAAATACAAAAATTAGCCGGACATGGTGGTGGGTGCCTCTAATCCCAGCTACTTGGGAGGCTGAGGCAGGAGAATCACTTGAATCCAGGAGGCAGAGGTTGCAGTGAGCTGAGATTGCACCACTGCACTCCAGCCTGGGTGACAGAGCAAGACTGTCTCAAGAAAAAAAAAGGTCATGCTAAATCCTGGATTAGATCCTGAAACAGATAAAGGATACTAGTAAAGAAAGATTGGTAAAATCTGTAGTTTAGATAATAGTAATGTATTGATGTTAATGTCTTGGTTTTTGACAAATGTACTGTGGTGGTATATCAGATATTAGCACTTGGAGAAACTGGGTAAAGGTATGCAGAAATTTTCTGGGGTATCTTTGCAATTTTTCTGTAAATCTAAAATCATTCCAAAGTAAAGTTTATTTTTTAAAAATGATTATGAAGTTCAGTATAAAGAAAAACTGTTTATAAACTAATGGTGATGTGGAAAAAATAACCAGAACTCAGAATTGTAAAGATGCTACTTTATAGCTGTGTGAAACAACAGCAGCAAATACCACCATTGCCACTATCAAGAGAAAAAGTCAAACAAAAAACCTATCTTTCTACAGGAAAACGAAGAGTAAGGGAACTATATCAAAATGTATTAATATTTTAGTGGTGAGATTCCATGATTTTTTTTTCTCTTTTCCTTCTATTTTATGTTTTCCAAACATTCCTTTTGAACTATGGATCACCTTTATAATGAAAACAAAATATCTCCTTATTTGTAAAACATGGTATCTGCAGGTTAGCCTTCTATTGCAGCCTTATGTTTTTTTCTTAAAACTTTCAGAGAAGGGGTTAGAAGGATCTTCAAAGAGAAATGTAGGGTATAACTCTCTTGCATGGAGGGCACGGTGGAGGGGCTGGGCTGGCTTACATGAAGAGTTATTACTTCAGGGTGTCCTGTTCCTCTTCAGAAAGCAGAAATCGCCAGGCATGGTGGCTCAAGCCTGTTTTCCCAGCACTTTGGGAAGCCAAGGCGGGTGGATCACGAAGTCGAGAGATCGAGACCATCCTGGTCAACATGGTGAAACCCCGTCTCTACTAAAAATACAAAAAATTAGCTGGGCATGGTGGCGCATGCCTGTAATCCCAGCTACTCAGGGTGCTGAGGCAGGAAAATTGTCTGAACCCAGGAGGCGGAGGTTGCGGTGAGCCGAGATCGTGCCATTGCATTCCAGCCTGGGTAACAAGAGCGAAACTCCGTCTCAAAAAAACAAAAACAAAAAACAAAACAGAAAGCAGAAATCTCTCATCAGCCCAGCCCTTTGGGCAAGAAGCATATTAGGAGTCATATTGCTAAGTTCCCTTGCTTTTTTGAGTCTGCTTCTTTATCTGCAAAAGGTCCTTTCAGCTCCAATTTGGGTGATTATTCTTTTTAATAAATGGCCCTGTTAGACCGTATGTTTTCCTGAGGGACTAGTATGTTGGATCTGCATTTGGTTTCTTAGCTGTTTACTCAAGTTGACTCTAGGTGAAGCCTGTGGACACATTAGTCCCTGACCTTCTTCAATTGTATCTTGACCTTGGTCGTTTTCCCTATATCCTTTGTATTGTGCCTGCCAGGGCCACTGGTGTGGTGAACTTGAGCTTCACAGATTTTCAACAAAACACTGCTTTTGTTTTTGAATAAAGAATATCTACCTTTAGAAGTTGGGTTACCAGGAAACTTCTTAAATCCTCCTCTTCATGAGGTGCCCAGTATCCTCACTTGCAACCCCACCCAGCCTGTAGAGTCGAGTCAGGTGTATGGATCCTCCTCTGGACTTACGTGAATCCGTATTTTTTTCCCTCCAATCGTAAAATAAGCGAGACCCACCTGTTCTTCATCTCAGGTTATTGTGGAGTTCCTTTTTTTCTTTCTTTTTTAAAATCAAAGTTATGTACTGATTCTAATGTTCTCTTTTGTGTGTTATTCCATCCCTTCCCCTGTAGGAATCCCATTACACTGTGCTTGGTGATGCTTTTAAGGAATGCTTTGTGAGTAGACCACATCCTAAACCAACACAGTTTTCAAATTTTCATAAAAGAGCAAAGATATTCTGTGCCCGACGGGACTGCAGCCATGACTGGGGAATCCATGTGAAGTACAAGACATTTGAGATTCCAGTAATAAAAATGGAAAGTTTTGTGGTGGAGGACATTGCAACTGGAGTTCAGACACTGTATTCAAAGTGGAAGGACTTTCATTTTGAGAAGATACCATTTGATGCAGCAGAAATGTCCACGATATCAGAGCCTCAACCTTCAGCTTCCGGGAATGAGTAACTCTGAGTGGAGAAGAAACTAACCTAGTGGGTATAATCATGGATTGCTTGTACCACTGTGAGGGTTTCTTTTTTTAATATCATTAACAGTTTGTACTGTATTATATATGCAGAGCACAAATGAATGAATCAGCACTGAATATTTAGTAGGCCAACAGAGCTCATAGTACTTGGGAAAAATTAAAAAGCCTTATTTCTAGCCTTCTCTTTAGAGTCAGCTGCCAACAAACACACAGGGATCACTCTGTACACCTTGGGATAGATGAATGGAATGTTGGAAATTTTTCTTTTGAAGGTTACCAGTGACTCTGGTTGCCAAATCCACTGGGCATTTCTTGACCTCCTTTCTATTTGAATTCGGTGCATTTGGCCCTGTTGAGTTCTCTTCTTGAAATTCTCCCTTGGCTTCTCTTCTAGTTCTATTCTAGTCTTTTTTATTGAGTCCTCTTTGCTGATCCCTTAAGTGTTGATAATTCCAAGGATTCAATATATGTACATATGTAAGTATATACTATACATATGTATATGTAACTTAGACATACAGGTATGTATATGTAATGGTTATATGTACTCATGTTCTCTGTGTAGCAACATGTGGTATGGCTACACAGAGAACATGAGTACATAAAGGCATTTTTATTCTCATACTAAAAGCTGTCCACCGTAAAGCAGCTGTGTATAGCAATATGTATCCATTCTACAGTTGACAGCTGTTAGTAGTGAGCATAAAAATGGTAAAATACTTAGAAACTTGCCAAATACATTTTGCCCTATTAATATGTTCCCTTAACATGTGCTGTTGTTCTCTTTGACCATTTTCCTTTAATGGCTGACGTTCAACTGAATGTCTGTTCTCAGGTCCCTTGGATGTTACTGATGAGGCAGTTTGTCCTTTCTACTTCACAAATTAGGATATGTATTCAGATGGCATTCATGTGTCACTTAGCAAGGTTTGCTGATGCTTCAAAGAGCTTAGTTTGCAGTTTTCTAGACATGGAAATAAGTGCCTGAGTTCCCTGGATATCAACGGGATGATGTGTTACAGCTGCCTCCCTCTCCATGCAGTCCAGTGACCAGTGAGTGGTGCAAGCAGGGAGCCAGAGAAACCTGCCAGTTATATAACTTTTCTTTGGCTTTTCTTCATCTGTAAAACAAGGATAATACTGAACTGTAAGGGTTAGTAGAGAGTTTTTAATTTAAAGAATATGTGAAAAGTACATGACACAGTAGTTGCTTCATAAGTTACTAGAAGTAGTTGTCTTTGTAAGACCCAATGCAAATGGATTATTTAAACCAAGTTCATGAGTTTTTAAATTTTTCATTAGTTTTTTACTAAGAGCGTCTTTTGTTGTGCAGTTTTTTTCTTCTTCATTATTTGATATGGTTTGGCTCTGTCCCCACCCAAATCTCATCTTGAATTGTAAGCCCCATAATCCCCATGTATCAAGGGAGGGACTTGATGGGAGGTGATTGGATCATGGGGGGAGTTGTCCCCATGCTGTTCTTGGGATAGTGAGTTCTCAGGACATCTAATGGCTTTATAAGTGTTTGACAATTCCTCCTTTACACACTCTCTCTTAATCTGCTGCCATGTAAGACATGCCTGCTTCCCCTTCTGCCATGATTGTAAGTTTCCTGAGGCCTCCCCAGCCATGTGGAACTGTAAGTCTATTAAACCTCTTTTCTTTATATTCAGTCTCAGCTAGTTCTTTATAGCAGTGTGAAAACAGACTAATACACTATCATTTAAGAACTCCAATATGATGTGTAAAACATCTACTATGAATAAATTTCATAAGTTTGTTTTTTTGAACTGGTCTTTGTTCTGTTGCCTAGGTTGGAGTATAATGGTGTGATCTTGGCTCACTGCAACCTCTGCCTTCTGGGTTCAAGTGATTCTCCTGCCTCAGCCTCCCAAGTAGCTGGGATTACAGGCACCCTCCACCACACCTGGCTAATTTTTTGTACTTTTCATAGAGTCAGGGTTTCACCATGTTGGTCAGGCTGGTCTTGAGTTCCTGACCTCAGATGACCCACCTGCCTCAGCTTCCCACAGTGCTGGGATAACAGGCATGAGCCACTGTGCCCAGCCAAGAAAAGTTCTCTTAAGTATGTAAATGATTCAATTTGGATTCAGTCACAGGCAGACTGAAGTGACATAAAGAAAACTTAGCATGTTCTTGTTTGACATTTAATGGAATAATGCCATTGCCAGGCATGGACTTGAACAAAGTAAGCACTTGGTTAAGATGTACTGAATCAAAGAAATGAGTAGGTGGGCTTTTAGGAATTGCAATCTCTTGACTGACTCCTAAATGCTGGTAATTTATTTCTATACTGAAGGCCACATTTTAAAACCAACTGGGGAGTCTTTTTCATGGACACATGCTCAGCCCCATTACAGCATCCTGGCAGGGTGTCCAGCCATGTACATGTTTTGAAGTTCCTGTGGTTCAGACACAACCTGTTACACAATCACCAACTTATTATCTCTGTGGTCCTGGCCTGTGCTGATGCTGTGATATTTTCACCCTGAAATGAAGAGTCATCTCAACACCAGGTCAGTAAACTGATTCTTGTCCTTCAACTGGATTCATTGTTATTGGAATTTCAAACAACAAACCAACCATAGCTCAATGTTTCTCAAGAGTATCCTGTGGAGCGTAGTGTGTGAGATACCCAGAAGAAAGCACTCTGTGGTCAGGTGGGTTTCTGTGCCATTTGCTGCCACCTTCCCTGCAAACAGTGATTACAGCACACATTGTTCTTGTGTCTGTTCTGCCGTGATAAAACCCGTTGAACTCAATGGTTCCCAAATGTACTGACCCTGGGTCTGTTTTACTCAGGGAACTCTGTTAACATCCTGTAGAAGCACAGTAGCAGGTATCCAGCCTACATACGAGAAGACAACTAGAACCAAATTTGAGTATTAACTTCAGGAGCATGCCTGGAACTCTCTTTCGTTATACCATAAAATAAAACTACAAATTTCATTCAACAAATTTGTATTTAATATGTAGGATTCACTCTTGGGATGCCAACTTTTAAAACTTAAGAATTCTTATCAGCTATCGTTTATATAATCTTTGTTCATGATAATTATGCTGTCTGGGTGAAAAGAAACTGGCTGGGTGTTAAATTCCACTTGTGTTCATGGCATTTAATAATGTCCTAAGAAGGAAGCCAGTAGAACCTTGGTTACTGTTTTTCAAAAGTGGCTCTGCATTGCTCCCACATAGCCCTGTGCATTACTCCACAGTCCTAATAGAGCCCTGAAAGGGAAACTGCCAAAAATAAGGTTCTCTGTTTAGGTGACTAAAAACTCCCAATATTTTTTCCCTAGGGAATAACTGGAGACAAATCTCTAAGATCACATACTATTAATGGTTACCCCAGAACCTGGCCATATCCCCTGACATATGGAAGGGCCCAGGAGAAGAGGCCACTCTACTGCAGAGGCCAACAGAAGGTATGATTGGCAGAGGGATGGGGGGTGGTTGGAGGGGCAAATGGAAGGGAACTTGACTTTGAGTCACAATATCCAATCAAGTCCACAGTCACGGCCACCCCTGTTCCTCAAGTTCTCTCAGCCAGCTATTTTGTTTGTTTAAGCCAATTTGAGTTGTGCTTCTACCATAGCTAAGAGTCATGCCTAATATCCTTCCCCTAGATTACTCTCCATGTACCATAAAAATCTAGCCTGTAAATACACATGAAGGGCATCCCTCATCCTTATTTGCTACATTAAAAATATTGACTGTTAGCTTGCTGTGGATGCCAGGTATGCCTTTTTCCCTAGGAGGGATCAGGCAGTAATGAATTTGGAAAACTGTAAGAACAAAGATGGGAATCTTCATTCCCAGAGAATATGGGAGGGAGAAGAATATTTTTAATTTGGAGAGTAAGATGGTTTTTTTCCTTAAGAAAAAAAGTAAGATAGTAAGATGGTTTTTTTCCTTAAGGAAAAACCAGGTAAAAGAAGTTGGTTTATTTAGCCTTGTTAGTGGGCAAGGTTGAGACACTGGCCAAGGTGAGTGTATGTGTGTGTCTGTCTCTCTATTACCCAGGCTGGAATGCAGTAGAGTGATCATGGCCTTGACTTCCCAGGCTCAAGTGATCTTCCTACCTCAGCCTTCTGAACAGCTGGGACCACAGGTACATACCATCACACCTGGCTGATTTTTTTTTTCTTCTTTTGGTAGTGTTGCCCAGGCTGGTCTCAAACATCTGGGCTCAACCCTCCAGCCTCAGCCTCCCATAGTGTTCGGATTATAGGCATGAGCCACTGTGCCTGGCCAAGATACTTTTTTTTTTTTTTTAATAGTATTCCATGGCATAAGGATACTTTTAATGAAAAGGACAGAAGATGTACTTGGAGTTAAGGGACCCCCATTCCGTTAGTGTAGCCACAATAATCTGTTTCCTCATAACCATTGTCTTTGCTTGGGCTGCTGTAACTAAATATGGTGGACTGTGTGGCTTATAAACAAATTTTTCACAGTTCTGGCTGGAAAATCTAGGATCAAGGCACTGGCAGATTCCGTATCTGGTGAGAACCCACTTTCTAGTTCACAGATGGTGCCTTCTTGCTGTGTTCTCCCAGGGTAGAAGAGATGAGGGGTGTCTCTTGAGCCTTTTTTAAAAGGCACTAGCTCCATCTAGAGGGCCCAGCTTAGCTTCTATTACCAAAGGCCCCACTTCTATTACCATCACCTGGGGGCGGATAAGGTTTCACCATATGAATTTTGGGGAAGATATGAACATTCAGACTATAGGAGCCACTGAATGTGGGGAGCTGCACAGCTCCCCAGCTGCTCAGTAATGGGGAGCCAAGACGGTGGAAGTCTGTTTTCTCAGCCATTATTAGTGTTTGTATTCTAAGACTGATCCTAATTTGAGGATCACAGGCTTTTTGTACAATGGAGTTCTGTTTTTTTCTTTGAGATGGCGTTTTGCTCTTGCAGCCCAGGCTGGAGTACAATGGCACGATCTGGGCTGACTGTAGCCTCTGCCTCCCAGGTTCAAGTGATTATTCTGCCTCAGCCTCCCGTGTAACTAGTATTAGAGGTCCCTACCATCACACCTGGCTAATTTTTGTATTTGTAGTAGAGATAGGGTTTCATCATGTTGACCAGGTTGGTCTTGGAACTTGTGACCCCAGGTGATTTGTCTGCCTTGGCAACCCAAAGTGCTGGGATTACAGGTGTGAGCCACCACACCTTGTAATTTTTTTAATGAACATAAATTAGATTCCCAGGACCACAAATAGACGGATGCTAAATAACCTGTCTTGATTCCTCCCCTGTTAAGAAGTAGAAAGAGGATTAGATTCCAGCTGTTCTGATGACCAGGCCACACTAGAAATTCATTAGAAGGATCCCGCCCTCCTATACTTGGACATCACAGCTTCTGCTGGTTCTTGGGCACTCAGACTCCAGGACTTAGACCAGCACTCCCCATGCCCCTCCCCAGGTTTTTAGGCATTTGGACTTGAACTAAGTTATAATACCACCAGCTTTCTTGGGTCTTCATGAGAGTGGGACCCTGACCCACTACAATTAGTGTTGCTGTAAGAAGAAACATGAGACCTCATTTTCTCTCTCCCCCACCAGGCGCACATCAAGGAAATGCCCTATGGTAACAAGCAAAAACGTGGCCATCTGTAAGCAAGGAAGAGGGTCCTCACCAGAAAAGTGGCTAGAACTTTGATCTCAGAATTCCAGCCTCCAGAACTGTAAGAAAATACATTTCTTTTCTTTCAGCCATTCAGTGTACAGTATTACATTATAGCAGCCCGAGCAAACTAAGACATGCCCAGAAATGGCTACAGGGGTAAAAAGGAGCAAAACCTATCATCTGCTTTTCCTTACATACTTACATCATCGCTACTGCTACCAGGCTACTCTTCCTTCTTGTCTGCTCCCAAACAGGGCAGAGTAGAATGGTTCTTAAACATTTCCATTATACCTGTACAGTTCTGATAGAGGTGAAAAATTGGAGAATATGAAGGTTATTCAGGCTTCCTCATGGATTCACTCTGCTCTAAACATCCCAAAACTCTAGCCACACACACAAAAAAACTCAAAGTCAACAAGTTTTCATTGAAAATAATAGATTTCATTTCATTCAAATGAGAAATGCTGTGTTGTCCTCTTGATAAATGAAAAGATAGTAAAAAGACAACATCACATTTTTTATGCAGAGCTATCAAAAAGGTACATAATCAAAAAAATTCCAACACCCAAATTGTCCATGAGGTGTCTGGATGATTGACTCTGAAGGAAAAGGAGAGAGAATCACTGCTCTGATTTGAAGTGTGAAAGTCTTATATGTCCATGTCAGTTAACACTGGTATAATATAGAAAGCAAAATGACCCTCAAGAGAAAAGTTTCACTGAGTAGAGTACAAGAGAGGAACAATAAGAGGGTAAGACACACCTTCTGAGAAGGTTTGCTTGTGTTCAGCTGAAGATTAATAGGAAACAGTGAAAAATCAACATCCCATGATCAGTAACTTTAAAGACAAGCTTGGTTCTCTGTTTCTGGCACTAGTCAGTTTAACAAAAATAGAGAATGTAAAAACTTCTGGGTTTGTGCCTACAGGAATGGCACCGATGCCCTGGCTGGTGCATACTTTTCTCCCTGGGTACATCACCAAGTGCAGGTCTCCTACTTGGCCATCTTGCGGATCATGTAGTTGAGGATGCCCCCATTGAGGAAGTAAGTGAGCTCCACGTCGGTGTCGAACCTCATGACAGCCTGAAAGGTCTTTCCAGTATCCAGCTGCAGCACAAAGAGATGGAAGAATTGTTGAGGGAGGAGATTTTGCCCACCCTGCCCCTCAGGTGTGGTCCACACTCCAGCAATACCAGCAGTACATGGGGACATGTAAGGCCGCTGGCCCTAGCCCCGACCCACTAAATTAGAAGATGCATTTCAGCAAGATCCCTGGGAGGCTGCTTTGCCCATTAAAGCTTGAGGCTGTAAATGAGGGAGAGAGGCAGCTAAGAAGTAAAAATAGCTTTTCAGGGCAGTAGCTATTACAGACATAGGGATAATATTTTTTTAAACCTCTGGGGACTCCCTGTGGACAGAAGTATACAATCAGCAGAAGTTTCATTAAGGCTGTCCCTTAGACAGCTGGCCCACCTGCTTATCTGAGATACGGACTTTTGCACTGCCTCCCTGGGGCACTGAATACCCCCGAGACCTGGGTACTTTACCTTGCCTAAGGATGTGTCATTTTCACTCCTGGGTTAATCAAAGCCTGGTGCCTATGGGCAGGCTTAGGGAGGGATGAGTGTATCTATTGCTCACATCTTTATAATAAAATGTTTTAGGTAATATGAAATGTCACATCCTTGAGCTCTCATCACAATCCTCTGCCTCTGGGCTGAGTGAGACGGGGGAGAACAGGAGACAGTAGAGGTGGGAGGTAAGAATGGAACTGAGGATAACTGTGAATAAACAGAGAAATTAATAAATCCATAAGCTTCATCCTGTGTTGTGAAGGCAGGTAGAAAAGGTGCTAGTAGGACTCCTAAGTCTAATGCAGTCCTACTGAGTGGTATTTTTTGCTTTCCAAACCTCACTCATTTCCTTCGAACAAGATTGGTTACAAACAAGGGGCCTCTTTTGAAGGGGCCTGGCACGGAGATGCTCCAGCTTACCTTGACCTGGACTTTCATTCGTGGTTTGAGGTTTTCTGGAATAATGACAGTGTATCGTTCCCGCCCTGTGAGTCCTAGGACATCTGCATTCTCACCAGGGAGATATTCAAGTGGGATCACCCCCATGCCAACCAGGTTACTGCGATGAATGCGCTCATAGCTCTCAGCCAGGATAGCTTTGATTCCCTGATGAATAAAGAGAGTAGTTGAGACACGGTTCCAGTCTTTTCTTTGGATACACAGATTTATAAACAAGTTAGAACTGTTCTCACATCCAAATTACTTGTAAGTACCTATTAATATTTTACATACAATGTTATCCTCTAGTGATAGATAACAGAATAGCTAGTCTTTACTGATGGCTTACAATGTAAAGGCACTATGTAAGCATCTAAATAATTCCTCTTATTCTACCCTCCACTAACCTGGGGATGGAGATGCTCTTACTGTCCCCCTTTACCCAGGGAGTCAGTGCTGGTATCTGGACCCATGGAGTCTGAAGTAATGTAACATGTCTTAGCAAAGTTACATTGTATCTGGAATCCACATCACAAAACAACATAAAATTTTTCCCTATTATAAAAAAATGCAACTTTAGAACATACCATAAAGTAAATGATTGCCTCTTGTCTATTGCTTTTACACTTCCTGCTTCAAAGATCATGTTGCGTTGAATACAGCCTTGATATTAAGCTTAAAGAATGTCTTACTGGGAATCTATAATTGGCAATATACAGCAATGAAGCATAGTACTCCATTAACTATAACTCCCCCATTAGTTTATTAATAATAACTGTCATAAAATATTAAAATACCCTAAGAGGTGTCTTGGGCACACTTTTAAGATGCCCAACACCAGGGTTACTTTGGGAGCTTGTTAAAAACAAAGAAACTTGGGTACTATCCCAGATCTGCTGCATCAGAATATCTTGCAGGGAGTATGGGGTGGGAGGGGGCTAGTGATTCTTACAATTTTGAGGACTATGAACTATAGTGCAGTGGTTCTCAACCACTGCTGCATATCAGAATCACCAGGGGAGGCTTTTAAAATCCCAATACCCAGGCCTTTCTCCTTACCAATTAAACTAGAATCTCTGGAGATAAGATCCAAGCACAAGTATTTAAAAAAAAAAAAAAAAAAATCCTGTGTTTCCAAACTTGAGAAGCACTGCTACAGAGGGAGGGCAGACTCTTTGGGCCAGTAGATATTTTCTAGGGATTTAGGTATAGATGGATGTATTCTGGGGAAGTAGAAAGCTTCCTAAACACACACTATTCAGGTCACTAGCTCTGTGTAAAGGCCATGCTGCTCTGCTTCAGAAGCTGTAAATCACAGCTGTCCACTGCTCTCTGGTAAGTACAGTCCAACACAGCTGAGTGGCCCAGCCCGGACAGCTACAGAACAGCAAAGCATGTTTTCCTGGGCAGCCAGAGCTCAATGGTTCTATATAAAGTCTGGACTCTAGAGAACCCCTGGGTGCCAGTTCTCTTCTCATCCTCTATCAGATCTTAGAGTTCCCTGAGTGCTCACTGCCTAGGTCTCATTTTGGCTACTACTCCCAATCCCCTTCCTAAAATCCTTTTCTTCTACAATTATCTGGTTCTTTTCAGTAGTTTACAGAAAAGACAGGCCTTTGCCCTACTACCAACTAATCAGAGAACATTTCTATTTTCCTCAGAGCAAAATAACCAATTAGTGTGATGTTCAAAGACATTTTCAGAAGCCTAGATGTCTGGAGAACTGTGTGCCAGACAGTAACATTTTTCTTACATGATTTACATGGACATCAGGCAAGCCATTTTTACCCCACTCTGAAGATTCAGGCTGGGTGGCATAATTCTTTTCTGGTTTTAGGGCAAGCAAATGCTCAAGAGGTAAAAGCTCTCTGCTCCCTGCATGGCCCCTTCTATGGGGACACCTCAAGAGGTGGAGCCCTGAGACGGCTGAAGGTTCTAAAAAGCTGCCTGCCTATGTGCAGATCGAGTCTCCCTCTCTCAAGAGCCCATAAGCAGATTTTCATAGGCAGTGAAGAGCAATTGTAAAAAGTGATTCTCTCAATTTTCCAAGAGACTTAGAACGCATTCTTGCCAAAGTAACTCCTGAAAAACTCCAAGCTCCTTTTCTCTTTTGTAAACCTGACAGACAATACAATAGCCCTGGCTTATCGCTGACATTCACCCAGAACAAAGGACTTGAATAAATTTTGGTTCCTCAACCTCTGAGAATGTTAAAAAAGCCATGAAACTAAGCTATGAAAGACATACATGTACTCTTCTGGATATGTTTTCAAAGACTTCAGAGTTCCCAAAACTGTTCTATAGACACGCCCCCATGGTCCATTAATGAATGACAGATCCAGTTCAACTCTGCATAGTCCTTCACCAAGTAAAATAAATCCAGAGCCACCAAGAAACAGGCAAGGAATAAACACTACATGCTTTTTTTGAGCCTGCTCTTCCATGACGTCTTGGAAAGTAAAGGAACAGGATTTATTGGCACCCTTCCAGTTCAGAGGGGAGCTGCCTCCTGGTATATCTCTGCTTCATACTCACCAGCAGGAAAGGGCCCTTAGCTGCCCAGTCTCGGGAGCTGCCTGCACCGTACTCTTTGCCAGTCAGAACGATCAGGGGAAGGCCTGCCTGCTGGTATCGCTCAGCAGCATCAAATACATCAAGCTGAAGAAGAGAAAAGGAAGTTTACAGGTGTGGGAGAGGCAAAGAGTGGACATAGGCCCCCTGAGCACTGGTGAGGGCAGGGCCAGAAGGGTCTGCAGATGGCCAAGTCTGCTTAATCAGATATCTGGTCTACGAATTCCCAATTATCTTGATCTTTTTACTTCTACCAAATTAAATTTTGTATTCTTGTTTTTGAAAAGATAAGAGTCTCACTCTATCACCCAGGCTGGAGTACAGTGGCACAATCTCAGCTCACTGCAACCTCTGCTTCCTGGGTTTCAAGTGATTCTCCTGCTTCAGTCTCCCAAGTAACTAGGATTACAGGCACCCACCGTGAAGGCTAGCTAATTTTTGTATTTTTAGTAGAGATGGGGTTTCACCATGCTGGCCAGACTTAAACTCTTGACCTCAAGTGATCCTCCCACCTCAGCTTCCCAAAGTACTGGTATTACAGGCATAAGCTACTGCTCCTGGCCTTAAATTTTTATATTCTTAAAAACCATTTTATATTCTTTTGACAGAAATGCCTAACTGTTGTTGATTTTATAAACACATTAGAATCTTAGGGCCTCAGGGACAAAAGGAAAGTATATCAGATTTTTTTCTTTTCTATTGACAAAACTTTCCAAAACTCAAACAGAATCCAACCTAAACATTGATTCAGACTGAACATCAGAAACTCAGTGAGGTCAGTTGTAAAGGGTAACAAAACAAAGAAGGTAACATGTTCTGAAATTATATAAAGTGCAAACTTTTCTACATGAAAGTCAAAGGTAGAGATGCTAGAAATGCAAATGGAAGCCCAAGTCAATTAAAGGTAGAAAAAGATTAATATTTTAGTACATGAGAAACATACAAATAGATTTCTCACAGGAAATCTGAGTATCTGCTGAACTGAGAGTTTACAAAGACATGATATCATCTCTGGTGGCTGAGCAGTACTATCATTTTTCCTGGCTATAAGTCAGAAGATAAAATTCCTCAAAAGAGAGATAGGAGCTAAAGAAAATTTCTCAAATAGGCTTTCACAAATTTGTATTTTGGTGTACTGATGGAACCTGTGGTTAATTTCACATGGCATTACCTAAACCTGGAGAGGATTCTGTATGTCTTCAGCTAGACAGAACTCATAAATACAGAAACTGTCAAAGAAACAGTGAAAAACCTTCTTCTGTCCAACTAAATTGTCTGGATCCTTTCAAAGACCAGAAAGAAACAACTTATCTGTTATTTTCAGAGATTATAGCTTTGGGTATTAACAATGCGAGAGTGTGCTTTAAAAAGTACTGCAAAGCTGACAACCTCATGGCAAAGCACATCATGTTACCCAAGCTCAGAGGGACTAAGCAGGTCTAGAACTCAGATCTCCTGACTTTTTATGCTGAGAGCCCCTCAACAGCTTAGAAAGCAACAGCTCCCTGCACTCTTATGCTCTTCTAAAGAAAACATAACATTCAGCTATTTCTTCTGTTACTGTGCTTTTATATCTCTAGGTATTCTGTTTAAACTACTTGTTCTTCATTTCTCCATCTCTACAGAACAAGTTTGCGTTACATAATCAGTTACGAGTGAGGCAGTATGTGTGGTGGTAAAGGGCCAGACTTTCTGGGTTTTAATTCCAGCTTTTCCACTGTGTGACTTGAAGGAGTAATATGACCTCTATATGCTTCAGTTCTCAATTTAAAGCACAGATAATCATGGTACCTACCTCAAGGGGTTGTTATCAGCATTATTTAATTTAATATATGCAAAGAGCTTAGAACACCTGGAATGTAATTAAGTGCCACAGACATATTATCTATTATTGTTTTAAAATAGGTCAGCAGGGTTATTTCTTAAACAGTTTTCAGACAATTTCACCGCACTCACTGGGAAGGGAAGTGACACTAAGGACCTATGACATGTACCAGACTCTACGCTAGGTTTTATATTTCAGTCAATTTCATTTTAAGCCTCAGAGCTTTCTTCCAAGGTAGGTAGTTTTTTTTCACTTCACAGGTGAGAGAAATGAGGCTCAGATGGAAATAATTTCAAGGCTTCACAGCTAGTATAACCTAGCGCTGGGAGCAAGCAATGCCTGCTGCAACACACTGACCCTAGTAGCTCCCATGAGAACCAAAGCTTGCCTCCAAGCACCTCTTTACTCCTTCTTTTCATGTGGATTAGATGAATTAAACTACATGCCAATAAAGTGATACAATAGCACTTCTTAATATCCTTTAATTTAACCCGGTATTTCCCCTTCAAATACTTTAAATGAAATTTCACTCAAAGCTCAATTCCTAAGAAACAAGAATGAAACCACGGTTTAGAATCTCTAAGCAAGAAGAAAAGGTTTGAATTGTCAGTGATAGATTTTATGCATATGGACACCTGGTGAAGAGGACTATGGTTAGTCTGAGGTAGGACGGAGCTGTGAGGAAAAACTTAAAACCAAAAGGTAAGTAACTGTAAATATCCAACCTCAGCCAAGGCTGACAAATGCTAGTGTCTGCAGGAAGCAGAAGACAATACTCACGATTTCTCCAGAAGGCAGATGGATAGTCTGTGGTGCCTGCTTGTTCAAAAATCTGTTTAACAAGCGAATGTTGGCAAATGTTCCCCGTGCCATGACGGCGTCGTTACCTCGGCGGGAGCCATAGGAGTTGAACTCTCGTGGAGTTAGGCTAAGAAGGCAAGCAAGAAAGGAGCTGGCTTAGCGAAGCAAGTGAAGATTAACCTTAGCTTATACCAAGAAAAGAAAAAAATATATATAGACCTGGCTATTTCTCTAAATCTCCTAAGCATTGTTCTCCATGGCAGAAAAGCTGTCCCCAAAGCTTCAACAGAGAACAGAGAGAGAGGTGAGAAGGGGTGGTGAGAGGCATAAATCAGTATTCTCCTGCGATTAACTCAGTCTTTCAAATCTTGTTAGAAAAGGAATAAGGAACTCTAAAAAATATTTTATTTGTTAGTAGGTAGCTTATAAAGCTTCATATAAGGTAAAGAGCTAAATTAAAAACAAGTGAGAAAATGGAAGCAAGAGAAGACTTAGGGTAGGCAAATCAGATGGAGCTAAGAATAGGGGGAAACACAAAATACGTTCTATTAAGTAATCAGAAATAGTTTCAAATCTTTCCCTGAGTTATCAGGAACTCAATGCTAAGGAAAGAAACACAACTGGCAAAATAACTTATAAGCTTCATGAGAGAGAAACAGAAGCAGTGCCAAAGAAGTAGAACAGCTACTTCTGGTCCCCAAATCAGAGGAAATCTTGTCTGTGGGACCTCAGGGAAAGAAACTTTGCAGTGTTAGGAAACATACCTTATGATTAACACAGTGACCAGTTCACTGAGCTGTTTCTTAAAATACTAGGGGATGGATGTGTTAATATGATTTAATTAATGGATAGATCTAATTGGACTGAGATAATTTAATGGGTTTCAGGAGCAGGTATGTCTTGGAACCCCTGAAACTATGCAAAATGTTGCGGGTATGTGCATTTTTCTGAGAAGGCATTAGATTTGCTTTCATTCAATTCTCTGAAGTGCTCGTGCCTCAAAAGGGGTCAAAAATCAATAGAAAAAAGGTATTTAGATTCTGTTCCTCAAATTTGCTCTGGAGAATCCCTGAAGGAGTTAATTCAGGAGATGGGGGTAGGAACCAGGAATTTTTATCTCCTCACATGATTCTCATGGAAACTCAGATTAGGGAACCACTGACCTTGATTAATATTAATATATGAGACAGCAGTTGATAATGCTGGTATACCTATGAGTATCAGCAAGAGCCTGAAGAATTGATAAATGGATGAGTAAGCTGCAAATCCTCCATGCAGTGCTCTGTAAACATTAGGTTTCTCAACCAGGACCTGGCAATGCATTTCAGGTTTTGCCTCTGCCCTATGCCTCAGGCAAGGCCAGGCTCTGCCCCAGGTTGAGAGCAGAGCCTTGTACTTGAAGGATCAGCCAACTCCGGGGCAAGGATGACAGTTGGGCCTAATGTATACACTTTCTCAAAAGAAGGTCCCTTTCCCCTTCGCCTTGGGATTCACATGTTAATGGTTTCTTCCATAGAAACTGTTAGGCAGCAAACAGAAAATGTAATTGGTTTTTAAGCCCCAGGGTTAAGCCTCAGTGAAAAACCAAAGAATCTGATTCCAAAGGGCCAGGTGAAAAGAGAAATGTTGGCCTCATTCACTTTATTACTCCAATTTTGCCTTTAGTCCTTCCCACCTCACTTATACTTACCCTCTGTTAGTTAGGTAGCGAGCAGCAGGGCTGTTTCTTGCAATATTTCCAGCTGGAGAGATGTGGTCAGTTGTTACTGAATCTCCTAAATTTAGCAGCACATAGGCATCCACTATAGATTTAGGAGGCTGAAGATCCAAAGTCTAGCAAAGAATACAAAAAGTCAGCATTGGCTCAGGTTTTCTCAAGTAAGCAGATCATTCTCAACAGTGGTGGTCCATGCGCCTGAACCAGATGACAGTTCCACACCAATGCACAGAAAATTCTAGTGTTCTAGTTTTTATCAAAGATGCTAAGAAAAGTAAGGTGAATTTACTCAAAACATATCTCAGTCTTGAAGAAAAGGTGAAGTACTGGCAATATCCCCTCAAAAGCAACAGTAATGCAGCTGCAAATGACATTCTCTCTTCATATCCCTAGAACTCCTCAGATGCTGAGGATAGTTGGAATCCTGACCTAGACTGCATCCCCTTCTCACAGTGACCCACCCAGGAGAGCATACACTTCTAGATCATCAGTTTCAGGGACGATGTCCCTGGTTTTTATGAGTATAAGGTTCACTATAGCAGGTTCTGGGGATGTTCTCCTGGAACAGTCCCTCAGACTCTACTGGGTCTAAGTCCAGGTGGCACCCAATCACCAGGGTGCCTGTGTACATCCATGCAGAACCCCTGCACAGATAAACTGTAGGCCCACAGCAGCCAAATATCCCAGCCTCCCAACATTCTCCCCGGCAATATCTGCTTGGGTTTGCAAAGGTTTTCATAAAATGGGTAGTCAAAGCAAGAGTATGGGGTAATAAAGTAGATATTATTAGGAAAGAAATCCTTCAAAGGACTTATTTTGTTAAAAAATAAAAAGCCATACCAGGTTTTCAAAGAATGGTGGTGATTTAATGTATGTAGATTTGGAATTCCAGCAATACAGCTTATCTGATGGGGCTACTAAGGCATTCCAGCTTTCATTCACGGTCTTAGAAAAGAAAAGAAAGGCAGATCTAGTATATCCCATTCTAGAGAAAATTTAATATGCAAACACAAAACAAACATTCAAGCTAAAAGGTACACTAGAAACCATTTTTCTTCTCAGCCACATACAGGAGTTAATTTATACTAATAGTGTGTCATGCTAAGTAACTTAAAAATCCATAGGCACTGTGGGCTGGGTGTGGTAGCTCATATCTATTAATCCTAGCACTTAGGGAGGCTCAGGTGGGAGGATGGCTTGAGCCCAGGAGTTCAAGACCAGCCTGGGCAAGATGACAAAACCATGTTTCTACAAAAATTAAAAAATTGTTTGGGTGTGGTGGCATGCCCCTGTAGTCCCAGCTACTCAGGAGGCTGAGGTGGGAGGATTGCTTGAGCTCAGGAATTCGAGGGGACAATTAGCTATGATGGTGCTACTGCACTCCAGCTTTAGGTAACAAAGCAAGACTTGTCTCTAAAAAACAAACAACAACATCATACATGTGCACTGTGATAGGCAGCCTCTACGATGGCAGGTGGGATCTTGCTTCCTGGGATTCACATCCTTAGTTGACCCCCTCCTGTTGAGTGTGGGCTGACGCTAGTGACTATCTCCTAGATTAGGTTATTGAGACCTGCCTTCTGTCTCTCTTGCCCTCTCTGGCTCTGATGGAAGCCAGCTACCATGTGTGAGCCATAAAGAGACGCACATAGCAAGGTGCTGAGGGAGGCCTCCAGCTAACAGCCAGTGAGGAATGGAAGACCTCAGTGCAACAGCCCTTGAGGAACTTGATTCTGCCTACAGGCACATGAGTGAGCCTAAATAGAAACCTCCTCCAGAGACTACAGCCCCAGATGACATGTTGAATGGAGCCCTGTGAAGGTATACAGTGAAGCTGTACCTGGATTCTTGATCCACAGAAACTGGGAGACTATATGTTAGTTGTTTCAACTGACTATATTTTGGGGTCATATGTTGCACAGTAATAGATAATTAATGCATATGCTTATCAGTAACTTAAGAAATAAGAATCCAGATTGTAACAAAGGGGAAATTACTCTGAGTGTTTTGGGAAGTGGCCTTCCAGGTCGCATAGATACTGGGTAGCAAATGACAGCGGCTATACATTAAAATTGGTTTGAATTCTGTCCACAGGTCCATTAATTCGGCCTTTGGAGTAACACATTGAGCACAATGCCTGCCAAGCTCCCTAACACCATCTCCCAAGGAGCACCTGTGGAGGGTGCAGTGTGTAAACATCACACCCACATCACCCTCTCCCCAGACAGTTTTGTCATTTAAACCACCAGCCCCAGTCAGAAGCCCTTGGGTCAGCTGAATGCAGAAGGCAGGGAAGGAATAATATGCAAGAGTCTCAGAATATGATGCTGCGCCCCATACGTTTCCTACTATTTGTGAAATGTATGGAAAAGTTTCTTCATTTCAGTAGTTTGGCACTTCCTACTGAGTGGCCTCAATTTTTCTTTAAAGCATGCAAAAATGCATTCTGAGAGGTGCATTCAACCAGTGGACTCCACTTCAATGACACAATATAGGCCACCAGGCCACCAGGGGTCCCAGCCACAGCTGACACACACCCCAGAGTGTCCTAGAAAGGGGTGGAGTTTTGGAGAGTTGAACCTGAGGCTTTCTTCTCTAGGCTGTCACCGACTTGTCCAAATCTGGGAACATTTGGGGGAGATGGGATTTGTAAAAATACGAGTCACAGGAGAAAAATGACAGAGAACCACTTCCTCAGTTATCTAAACGAATAAATGTTACTCTCTATAGTTTATACTCCCATTAGCCTCGAGGTCTGCAGATAGGACACAAAGGGAGCAGCCTTCCCTTAGATCCTCTGAGGCAGGGAGGGCAGTGTGGGACCTCACCTCTATTTTCTGATAGACTTCCTTAAACATCCCTGGGATGACATACTGACGTTCTACTGCCTGGATCTCATCTCTAGTCGGCCAGATGTCTTTCAGAAATATCTGCTGTCCCTTTGCATTTACTCCTGGGGAAGAAATGTTTATTAATGAGAAAACTTTCTAATACGCCATTTTCATGATTACATAGAGTCAAGCCTCATTCTCCTTGGTAATTATGTTCTATAAAGCCCATGTGAACACTGAATGAGTGGATACAGAATCATTGCCACTGGGGAAATACAGGGTGAGGTTCCTGGGAGTCTGTGGTCACCAATCAATACATAACCTTGCTTCATGTGAGAGACACCTTATTTAATATAAACTGTTGACTCACTGACATTGAACTTCCAGCCAAGAGCACTATAACTCTTCTGAATGAAGCCTATTTAAACACGATGCATATCACAGTCTGCTTGTGCTAAGAACGCCAGACAGCACTTCAGGACTATGCTTGAGGACCATTTTGAACAGCAACATCACCACAAAAAGCACAAAAATGCAAAAAGCATGGCACTAAGTAGACCGAGAAAAGGATTCTTGTATATCACGAGAGCTGAAACAAGAGGGCAGAGTGACACCTTCTCAGTCCTCAGTACAGAACGTGCACGTTGAGTGACGTACAGTTTTCACCCATTTGTGCTGATCTGTGCATAACAGTAAACATACTACCATTAAAATACATTTTAGTGACTAGGAAACTCTGCAGCATAGAATTCACAAATAATGAGGATCAACTGTACCTCTACAGTTATGATTTCCTAAAAGTAAATTTCAGGGGCATTGTTTTCATATTATCTGTTATGCTTAGAATGGATTGAGGGGGGCTGAGCAAGCAAGCTGATCTGAGGAAAGGAGGTGATGTAACATTTCTTTGGAATCTGAGAAGTTGAAATATTCGCAGTAAGTTTTCACAGAGTATATATTAAAACAAGGGGCTGGGCGCGGTGGCTCATGCCTGTAATCCCAACACTTTGGGAGATGAAGGCGGGTGGATCACGAGGTCAAGAGATCGAGGCCATCCTGGTCAACATGGTGAAACCCTGTCTCTACTAAAAATACAAAAAATTAGCTGGGCATGGTGGCGCGTGCCTGTAGTCCCAGCTACTCAGGAGCTGAGGCAGGAGAACTGCTTGAACCCTGGAGGCGGAGGTTGCGGTGAGCCGAGATCGTGCCATTGCACTCCAGCCTGGGTAACAAGAGCAAAACTCCGTCTCAAAAAAAACAACAAAAAACCCACAATGCCTATCATTAAAGTGAGAGCTAGAAAGAGGAACTATAGAAGAAACCAGACTAGCAAGATGTCTATTCCTTTTGGCATCGCTATTTTCCTTTCATCATCCTTTACCCTCACTAGATTCTTGTTTTAACTGCTGCAGTTAAGTCTTAGCTGTGTATTGGAGAATAAAGAAGATCCTCCTCTTCGTCTTATCCCTGGAGGTTCTATGCTTCATTTCTTATTTTAAAAAGCAGCAATTTTCTTCCAGTAATATTTGTGAATTCAGTGGAAAAAAAATTACGGCCGCACAAACAAAATCTTACCCAGTGGCTCTTTCTCAAAGTCGATTCTGATGGTTCCAGCAATTGCATATGCTATTACTAAGGGGGGAGAGGCTAAATAGTTGGCCCGGGTGTTGGGGTGAACTCGACCTTCAAAATTCCTGTTCCCAGATAGTACTCCAACAGCTACAAGGTCTCCCTGTATAAGGCAAGAGAAAAATCAGGTCACTAAAAGGAGAGACTGACCAGGCTTCTGGTCTCACAACATTTGTGAGTTTCCACATCACAAAGTAACAGTCCTTTAAGCTGCCCTTTCACCTGGTTCTCTCCTACTAGAGGGGAGAAGGGTACACAGGGGTGTCCCTATGGGAGATACTCTGGGTCAAAGGAAGCAGAGACATGTTTAGTGATTTCTGCTCCTGAGAAAATACCAGGTAGTTAGAAGGCAACATACTAATTATTGCTGCCTGGGGCCCAAGAACAGGTGAGAAAGACCTAACAGCTAAAGGAAGTCACAATGACCTACATAGATTTTATAATTAATGCAAAGCAAACCAAATATATTTTTCAAGGTTCAGCATTTTTTTTTTTTTTTACAAAAATCAAGCCAAAGCAATTTAGTTTAGATTCATCCATGTGGAGACTTGTCTCACTTTGAACCAATTTTCAAATTATTTAGGTTGGTACAAAAGTAATTGCAGTCTTCATCACTGAAATGGCAAAAACCAGTTACTTCTGCACCAACCCAATACCTATAATGAACAACTGGAGGTCTTTGTAGTCAAAACCAGCAAGAACTGAGCATTTCCTTGAGTGCCAGTCACTGCACTAAAGTGATTTATCATCATCTTCATTCTCACAACTCTGTAAAATAGATACCATTATCATCTCCAATATACAGTTGTGAAAACCCAGGCACAGATAGGTTAATGAACTTGCCCAAGGTTACCCAGCTAGTAATTTTAGCTAAACTCAAAAGACCATATTCTAAACCACATTCCCTGCTTCCATGGACCTTCTTGGAAATATCAGCATTTTTGTCACACGTTACAAGAAAAGAAACAACTGCTCCGAAGACCTGCAGGCACCTCTGCAATTACCTGCGTGATGGCTTCTACCACAGGTTCAGGTAAGGGCCCGCTATTGCCAATGCAGGTCATGCAGCCATAGCCCACCACGTTAAACCTAGGCACCGAGAGAGAAGCACACAAAAAAAGAGTAACTTTCAGTGAGCCCTTCTGCTGGCCACAGTTTCTGGAGACCACTGTTCAAAAAGGAATTGCAGTACATGAACTAAGTCCAGTGTAGTGCTATTTCTAAAAGCTTTCATTCTTGAGAGCATTCTGATATAGCATATCATGTAGCATAAGAAGAATACTATTCATATTTTTACTTTTTAAAATTTTTTTTAGATGGGGTCTCCCTATGTTGCTCAGGCTGGTCTTGAACTCCTGGGCTCAAGGGATGCTCCCACCTCGGATTCCCAAAGTGCTGAGATTACAGTAATACTGATGATCCTGGCCCTGTGTAGGCTTAAAGTGTGTGTTTATCTCTTTCCTTTTTGTTTTAAGACATGGTCTCGCTGTCACCCAAACCGGAGTACAGTGGTGTGATCACAGCTCACTGCAGCCTCAAACTCCTGGGCTGAAGCCATCCTGCACCCTCAGCCTCCTGAGTAGCTGGGACTACAGGCATGCGCCACCATGCTTGGCTAATTGTTTTCAATTGTTTTTTGGTAGAAACAGGGGTCTCACTATGTTGTCTTGGCTGGTTTCAAACTCCTGGCTTGAAGCAATCCTCTTGCCCTGGCTTCTGATATTATAGGCATGAGCTACTGTGCCCAGCCTCTCTTGGTTTTTAACAAAAAAGTTTAAAAAGTAAAAATAGAAAACTTCAAAAATAGAAAAAGCCTTATGAAATAAGGATATAAAGAAAATACTTTGGAACAACTATACGTTTGTTTTAAGCTAAGTATTATGAGTCAAGAATTTCAATAAACTTAAAAAGTTGCAAAATAAAAGTAAGCTATGGTTAACTTATTAAAGAAACATTTGAAAAAAATGAATTCAGTGTAGCCTAAGTGTCCAGTGTTTATAAAGTCTACAGTAGTGTATGGTAATGTTCTAGGCCTTCACATTCACTCACTGACACCCAAAGCAACTTCCTGTCCTGCAAAGTCCATTCATGGTAAGTGCCCTAGATAGGTGCACCATTTTTAATCTTTTACACTGTATTCTTACTGTACCTTTTTTTTTTTTGAGATGGAGTCTCCCTCTGTCACCCAAGGCTGGAGTACAGTGGTGCAATCTCGGCTCAATGCAACTTCCCCCTCCCAAGTTCAAGTGATTCTCCTGCCTCAGCCTCCTGCATAGCTGGGATGACAGGCCCCTACCACCACACCCAGCTAATTTTTGTATTTTTAGTAGAGACAGGTTTTCACCATGTTGGTCAGGCTGGTCTCGAATCCTGACCTCAAGTGATCTGCCCACCTCGGCTTCCCAAAGTGCTGGGATTATAGGCATGAGCAACCGTGCCTAGTGTACTGTACCTTTTCTATGTCCAGATACACAAAGAGCCCTGGGCTACAACTGCCCATAGTATGCAGTACAGCAACATACTATACAGATTTATAGCCTAGGAGCAGTAGCCCACACCATACAGTCTAGGTGTGTAGTAGGCTATACCACTGAGGTCCATGCAAGTATACTCTATGATGTTCATTCAGAAACAAAATTGCCCAACATACACCATTTCTCAATGTATTGCTGTTTTTTTTTTTTTTTTTTTTTCTTTGAGACGGAGTCTTGCTCTGTTGCCAAGCTGGAGTACAGTGGCACAATATTGGCTCATTGCAACCACAGCCACCTGGGATCAAGTGATTCGCCTGCCTCAGCCTCCCAAGTAGCTGGGAATACAGGTGTGTGCCACCACACCCAGCTAATTTTTTTAATTTTAGTAGAGACAGAGTTTCACCATGTTGGCCAGGATGGTCTCAATCTCCTGACGTTGTGATCTGCCCACCTCGTCTTCCTAAAGTGTTGGGACTGCAGGCATGAGCCACTGCACCCAGCCTGTACTGCTGTCTTTTTTTTTTTGAGACACAGTTTCGCTCTTGTTGCCCAGGCTGGAGTGCAATAGCATGACCTTGGGTCACCACAACCTCCACCTCCCGGATTCAAGCCATTCTCCTACTTCAGCTTCCCGAGCAACTGGGATTACAGGTGCCCACCACCACGCCCGGCTAATTTTTGTATTTTTAGTAGAGACAGGGTTTCACCATGTTGGTCAGGATGGTCTTGAACTCCTGGCCTTGTGATCTGCCTCCCTCCACCTCCCAAAGTGTTGGGATTACAGGTGTGAGCCACTGCGCTTGGGCCGTACGGCTGTATTTAAGCAATACACCACTGTAACTAATTTGCAAGGAATCAGAAGGATTTTAGCCATATTTAATAATTATTTTTACATCAAAAGACAGACTCAGTTGCAGAGCCACTGCTAGTCCATAACACACCTCAGTGCAACTGAGAAAAGGAAGCCCCTCTTCCAGGAAGGTACAGTACCACATCAGAGCACAAGGCTTGGTAAGCCAAGCACAGGCTCGAGTTTAGCCCCTGCTCTGCGCTTAGAGGGTACCCTTGTGTGATGAACAACCAGCAGAACCATGTGGGAGGGCCCTCTTTGGATGGAATGTAAGGGTTTAAGTCTCTACCATCTGATAAACAACTATGCAATTAGATATCATCAGATAATCTCATATCTGTTACAAGGTGACACAGCAAGGTACATGAGGAATAAAATTCAACAAAAGCAATGGTGCAAAAGAAAACTCTCCCTCACCCAAGCTGAGACAGATAAGGCATGACTCCGCTTTCTTGTAGGTAGTAGGTCACCACACCACTCCCAGGAGACAGGCTAGTTTTGATGTAAGGCATCACATTCAGGCCAGCATCCACAGCTTTCTTTGCTAACAATCCTGTGAAATGTAAACACAGATGCAGTGTGGGTGGCCACCTGCTCTAGGTGCCAGGTTCACTTCGGAAAAGAGCCTGATTATCTTCAGTCTGCATTTTCTGCCACCACCTGACCATGATCCCTTCATGTTGGCACTATCTGCTGTTTCTGCTGCAAAACAGAAATCTAAAGGCTCCCTGGCCAATAGTCATTCAAATGTATGCCGTAAACTCAAAACTCGGCAAGGAAATGAAGAAAGAGATTTGCTTACTTTTTTTTTTAAAGAGATAAACCTAAACCCATTTAGGAATATATTATAAAATGAGCTTTTCATTTTTTTGAGGGAAAATGATCTGTCTAATTATGTTTGATTTTGATGAAAATCATAATTGAAGAAGCCCTTTCTAAAACTATATCAACTGTGTGCTGGTTGGCAAGAAACAGTCAGCCAAGAAATAAAAACCAAGTGTTCAGATATATCTTGAAGTGGAGGATTAAGAGCTCCTGGACTGCTGGACTTTGCCAGATACAGAGACTGCTCCTGGAACACTGGGTGCTCTGTCTTAGGAAGTATCACAGAAGTAGCAAAAACATGAGCAGTGGGGGTGGGGGCATGAGAGGACAAAAGGCCACAGACAAGCTGATGACTTGCCTACAGAAGACTGGTTTGCTCCAGACCAGACAAGGAAAGCTTAGGTGGCAATATATGGACTCAGGCAAAGAAGGTTTTCCTTATGCCCGTGTCTGCCTCATAAAAAGGAACAGTTGACACTATTTGGTCTGTTGATGGATACAAGAGAAACTTTGGGCATGACTAAAAATTTGAAAACTAAAGAGACTTTATGGTAGGGAAACTGTATATGTAAATATTAACAACTTAACCAGAATTGCAAAACAGGTCAGGTGCCCCAGGTTTTATCAGCCAGTGCCCTGTGGCCTCATTCAGAAACACCTCCCAGCATCCAAGTCAGAACTCAATCCTGCTGCTCAGGGGTTTCACAGAGAACAAAGTCTGTGACAACACTTTATTTTTTTTTCCAGAGTCTGACGTAAGAATGTAGGCTTTCCCCGAAATCCACCTTCCTTTGCTTTCCTCTACTTTTTTTCTGTGTTAATTTTCAAGAGTGACTATTACACAGTGTACCTTCTATTTTAAAAACTTTGCTTTGGACCCTACTTATTGTGTAGATATTTATGGGCCAATAAATACCTGTATCTGGAAAAGATGAGGTTCAGGGAACGACCTGTAGAACTACACTGAGACCCTGGGACATGTCTCAGGTTATTTCCACCTACACACGCATATGAGCATGAAGATGGAGTCAAATGCACTTACCTGCCCCTAACATCACAGATGGGTTACTGGTGTTTGTGCAGCTAGTAATGGCAGCAATGACCACAGAGCCATGAGCAAGGGTGAATTCAGTGTTATCATAGATAAAGGTTTTATGGTCACTATGATGTTTGGGAGCAACTTGGAATCCTTTAAATCCTTGCTAAAAGAAGAAAAAATATATATAGGAATATATTTATATAAAATATACATATTTCTGGCTAGAGCAAAAAACATACATATAGTCAACAGTTCTCACTTTAGATTAAGGAATAATTTGGTAAGTATAATTTTAAAGGCCAATTCTTAACAAGGCATAAGTATCTCTGCAAGTAAACTCTGAAATGCTACAGAAAAATTACTCTTTTTGGCTGGTTGTGGTTGGCCCATGCCTGTAATCCCAGCACTTTGGGAGGCCAAGGCAGGTGGATCACGAGGTCAGGAGTTTGAGACCAGCCTGGCCAAAATGGTGAAACCCTGTCTCTACTAAAAATACAAAAATTAGTTGGGTGAGGTGGTGGGCACCTATAATCCCAGCGACTCAGGAGGCTGAAGCAGGAGACTCGCTTGAACTGGGAGGCGGAGGTTTCAGTGAGCCAAGATTGAACCACTGCACGCTAGCCTGGGTGACAGAGCAAGACTCTGTCTCAAAAAAAAAATAAAATTACCCTTTTTAAATCTTTACAAAAAGCAGTCATGATATCTCATTCTTACTCTGCATTGACATTAGTAACAATTATGTCCTGCCCTCCTCAAAAATGTAAATGCTAAAACTACAAATTTGGTCTAAATTTATGACATTATTGTAGAGTTTAATGGATATAGACTGATGAAGACTATGGTTCTCACTTTACAGAAATTTTTAAAAAGGCACTGTTTTGACCAGATTCAACAAATCATGATCAACAACACAACGTACAGCTGAATATCTGCCATAATACTGGTGTCTCATAGATGATACATCTTCATCATTCCTTTGGAAAATGTTCATTGAAAATCTACTGCATATAAGACACTGTGCTAGGTACCTTGTGGGGTCCCAAGATGGTTCAGACACAAATCCTATTCTCAAATGTACAGTCTCGTAACAGAAATCATACATGCAAATAAAATACCAACAATGTAAGTTAAAGAATATGGAATGCTATCAAAATATTTCAGACCAAGCGCCATGAAGTATCCAACAAGGGAAAGATGACTTTCTGCTATGAGATTCTGAGGCCCCAGTGCAGAGTAGCTGGTATCTGAACCAAGTTTTATGGAATTCATAGAACAGAATACGACAAGTTGGAGAAGAGACTTTCAGGCAGGGAGGGGCATGCACAAAGGTACACAGCTAGAAAATCTTGGGTGAGTAAACAATATGGTGAGGGTCCTGTGAAAAGCAGACAAGCTTAAAAAGGTGGGTTGACTTGTGTTTCTGATGGCTCTTGCTGCTTGGCTTGTGGCTAATGGAGGAAGTCATTAAGGACTTAAGAATGGAGAAACAGGCTACAGGAAGATTCATCATCAAGCGAGGTGAAAGCCTGGACACTCAAGGGTAGAGTTGAGAGGATTCAACCTCTTCCCCCAGGCCCCTACCTTGGCTCCAAGGCAGCTCTCAAAGTCCTTTTTAATGTCGGACACAGCAACTTTGTCCTGAGGCCTTTTGGGTCCACTGCAGCAAGGCACTACTGTTTTCAAATCTAAGTCCACAACCTGTTGACTCACAAGAAAATAAATTATAGAATTTACATTATACCCACAAAGAGGAAACCCAAATCATGCTAGAGAATTTAAAACATCACAAACATAAAAATAAGCAAATAAACAGAACTACCACATTCCAAAACAAGGAAGCCAATGTTTCTCTTAATTAATCGTAAGTGATTTATTTCCGAAGATCACAATGGGCACTTAAGTAGCAGAAGACAGGCAGGCAGCCTTGCCACCTCTCAGAACGGGGTGGGCACTGCAGATGCCCAGTGTCCTCCACTTGCCCATTCTTGGAGGCGGTCCATCATGCTTTTGTATGGCTGAGTTAGGCTGAAGGTGGGTTTTCTGCTAAAGTCATACATAAACCATTACACTTTTAAGGTGATTTGGGAGGGATGCAGCCATTAAGTTATCAATGCCAGGATATGAGCCTTAGTCTAATTGAATATTTCCTTTCCTCAATGTAATAAGAAACCAAACAAGGGTCACAGGACAAGTTTACCTTGTGGTCTAGAAAAATGTGGATTCCATTTACACCTTAGAAAATAAGGTATTCAGGATAAACAGAACTGACATATTTGTACCTTCACTTCTTCCTAGGTCTATAATAATGATGGTTTAGCCTTTAAATAGCTCATGTTCCTGAAGTCTAGAATAAGTTCATTAGTGGTGATTTCTGAGGTTTTGGTGCATCCATCACCTGAGCAGTGTACACTATACCCAATGCGTAATCTTTTATCCTTCACCCCTCTTCCACCCTTTTCCCTGAGTCTCCATTGTATCATTCTTATTCCTTTAGCAGTCTTTCAATGGTCTTCCACGTGAGGCATGAATCAGTAGTTCAAATAGGGGAGCAAACTTAATTTACAATGATTAAGCCAGTAGGAATGTAAGTTATATTATTGTTATCTTTACTATTTCCTTATCCTTTTGGTTTTCAACCTTTTAACACTCCGTTCCCTTGTAATGCCTTGGCAGTGACTAATTTCCTACCAATGCATTCCCCCAAGAAAAAACACAATTAAAACTGTAGCCTTGAGGAAGAGGAAATACATGCTTAGTGGAAGGCACTCTCATACCTGGGTGAAGTCTGGGTCTTGAGAAGGGTCATTGAAATCTCGAAACATTCCTACAGCCTGAAGATACTTTTTAATGTACTTTATTTTATTTTCATCACGACCTAAAAGGCATTTTAAGGAGTAACAAGTAACATAGGTTAGTATTTCCCAGTTGAAGTTTATAAACTGATACTTCCATCAGCAATTATCTGAGTACACAACATACACTGCACTTACACTCCAATAGCTCTGTTGATTTTCCGGCTTCCAGGATAATAGTTTGACTCTCCCACTGATGCTGCTTTTTATTGGAGGCCATTAATGAATCTGCTGTTCCTATCAAAGTGACTGTTTTCTGAAAAATATTCTGGTTCTATCTATAGATAACCCCCCTCTTTTTGGGTATAACCTTTAATTAGGAGAATCTTACGCCTAAGCCAATTGTCAAAGCACACCTATGCATTTGCCTTCAACTGGCCAGAAAGACTCAGCATTCCACATGATCATTGTTAAAATTAAAAACCATCCGAACCCCACCTGAAACCACTGGCTACTGAGCACCTTTTGGGCACTGTGCCCTAAACATTTAAAATGTATTACTTCAATCTCTAATCCTTTATCATAGTCTTATGATATAAGTACAATTATTATTCTCATTTATGGATGAGGAAATGGCAGCTCAAGATTGAATAATCTTTCCCATGGAACACAGCCAGTAAACGGCAGAACCAGAATCCAAACCTGAGCTTGACACCAAAGTTCAAAATCTTAACTCTCGCTGCTGCATCACCAGGAATATGACTTTGAACCCTCTGCTATTTAACTCTTATCAAGATTCTGGTGTCGGAGATAATGCTCATGAAGTATGCCCAATGGACATGCAGTCCACCATTTCTCTGATAGTTAGAAACACAAGGTTTGACCCTTTGGCCTACCACTGATCAGAATTTTTTGTTTGTTTTAGATGAATTGTAAACATTATCAGCTCTCAGTACAGACTTCATAAAAGACAACTGTATGAGCCTCATTAATATATTTGTCCTGACCTGTTGTTGAGCCCACTATTCATTATTCCCCATGCCATGCTCTTCATGAAGATGAACAGGAGAAATGTCTCTTAGGGTTTAGTTTGAGAAAGGGCTACACTCTTCTGAAGCAATATGTTTGTTTCAACTTAATAGTTGTTACAATTTGGCACTGGATCAGTAGGAAGTATAATGGCCACCTGCAGCAGCATGAAAACTAACCTTCCCTCTAGATCCATCTCACAGCTTTTCTCCCTCTACCCAGCACAATATCCCTTCTCTTCTTTAGGTTGATTCCCTCAATTATTTATTCTGTTCTTTTAGTTATCTTTTTCACTTAAAATCCTTTATGGGGACCGGGCACAGTGGCTCACACCTGTAATCCCAGCACTTTGGGAGGCCAAGGTGGGCGGATCACAAGTCCAGGAGATCCAGACCATCCTGGCTAACATGGTGAAACCGTGTCTCTAATAAAAATACAAAAAATTAGCTGGACATGGTGGCATGAACCTATAGTCCCAGCTACTCAGGAGGCTAAGGCAGGAGAATTGCTAGAATCTGGGAGGCAGAGGTTGCAGTAAGCCGAGATGGCACCACTGTACTCCTGCTGGGTGACAAAGCAAGATTCCATCTCAAAAAAAAAAAAAAAATCCTTTGGGGGAACAAAATGTATTAATCAATTTCAATGTGGTTATACTCAATAGAAACATTTTTTAAAATAAACCTTTTCATCGCAATCTTTACAATTTCTTGAGGAATTTCCTTAGGCTATGAGAGAAGACTAAGATTTGTTTGGAGTAAGATTCTCCTGAAACCCTTCCCATGGCTGTTACTTCACTTCATCCAGACATCTGTGCAAGAACCTCTGGTGTACTTCACCCACCTGCCCTTTCTTTTTCATTATCACATTTATGCATTTGTTCACTTGTTCAATATCTTCCCCCCTTACTGGAGAGTAAGCTACTTGACGGCAGGGACTTTATTTATCTTGTTCACCAAAATATCATTGGGAACTAGACCAGATATTGATAATTTGCTAAATGCATGACTGAATGAAGAGTTAATGTTTTTAAACTAAGAAAGAAAATTTAAAAGCTTCTCAAAGTTAAAAGTCAAATTCCATTTTTTTTTTTTCCCGGAAAGGGTCTCACTCTGTCTTCCAGGCTGGAGTGCAGTGGCGCGATCCTGGCTCACTGCAACTTCCGCCTCCTGGGTTCAAGCAATTCTCTTGCCTCAGCCTCCTTAGTAGCTGGGTAAAAGTCAGATTTCTAAACAAAGATATACAGTGTTAAAGACCTGTCAACAATTTAAAAGCCTTCACATGCAGTCTCTCATTTCTTTTCTTCTTTTTTTTTTTTGAGACAAAGTCTTTGTCGCCTAGGATGGAGTGCAGTGGTGCAATCTCAGCTCACTGCAACCTCTGCCTCCTGGGAGTTTCACCATGTTGGCCAGGCTGGTCTCAAACTCCTGACCTCAGGTGATCTGCCCGCCTTGGCCTTCCAAAGTGTTGAGATTACAGGTGTGAGCCACCGTGCCCAGCCTCATTTCATTTTTTGGACATCCCTGAGAGGGGTGTTGCAGATTGCTGTTCCTGTTTGGAGCCAGGCAGTTGCAGAGTTGGACTCTGACTCTGCTATTTATTAGCCTTGGGTATTAACACCTCTTCCATCCTCAGTTTTCTCTAAAATTAGTCTCTAATATTAGCTAGTGAATCAATCAACCCTACAAATCTGTAAAGAGGTTGACAGCAAATACATGCCAGGTGCCTGGTATACAGCAAGTACCACATAGACAGCAGTAACCATTACTAAGATCACTTGTTTAATGTCAAAACACTAGTAGTGAGGAACAGTCTAAACATCAGGGCTTCTGTCATCTCTGAGCTCTTTCCATTGGCCATACCATCTCTGTCTCATATTAATTCCTTAAATCCCAAAAACCCATTCTGACTCCACTGAGAGAAAAAAAAATTGTGTAACTGTAACCCAATGCCTTCTGTTGGGTAGAGGCAGAAGCCAATGCTCAGATTCTCAGTGTTTCATGGAACTTTTCCAAAGAGCCCTCTGCTTTCACAGCCCTTTACTTACCTGTTTGCACCAGATACATGATACTAACTTCATCAACTGGGAAAAAGGCAGCAGTTGCTCCATACTCTGGGCACATGTTGGCAATTGTAGCTCGGTCAGCAATGGACAACTGGGCTACTCCTGGCCCGAAGAACTCGACAAATTTGCCCACTACCCCAACCTGGCGAAGGTGCTAAGCAGCAGAAACAAGATAGAAGTTTGAGATCTGATGGCCCACATTCAAACTGCAGAACTACCATCTTGCACTTCTTACAAACTAGTCTTGTCAGCAAACCGAAACAATAAATTAGCCCAACACATCTGTAATCACTTTCAAAACTTAAAAACCAGTGCCAACTAAATGCAACATGGTATCCTGAATTGGATTCTGGAGCAGAAAAGGGACATTACTGAAAAAACTGGCAAAGTCGGTAGTTAAGAGTACCACACCAATGTTAACGTCTTAGTTTTGATCAACATGCCATGGTTATACAAGATGTTAACATCACAGGAAGCTGGGAGAAAGGTAACAGCAATTCTCTGTACTCTTTATACCAACTCTCCTATAAATCTAAGATTATGTCAAATAGTTCTTATTTATAATAAGAAAGACAAAGTATGCCCAAAATACAAATGACATTAAGTATTTCAAAATGAGAAACATTCTTTCTCTTTCTAATGAGATCATTGGAAGTGTCTGTAAGTGATAAATATTAAATCATTTCAACCTAAATACTTGCATTAGTTAAGAAAATAACTTTTCAAAGGAGTAATGAACAAAATTCATTCTACAAGTATTAAGTCAAATGTAACCAAAAGATCCCCATATCTTTTCCATACAAGGCACCAGCCAGGAGTGACTGACTTAAGCTCTGCATAAAGCCTGTTTCTACCTAAAACCACACAGATGGGCTCTTTTGGTTATATGGAACTTTGCCAGATTTTGTGAGGAATTCCTGTATTATTCCACATCTGAAGAATAGTCCACAGACATTTGTGATAAGCTGTGGTACTCAAATAAATCTAATTCCAAATTTCACAAAAATTAAATCAAAGAGAAATGTGTTTTGCACTTTATAAATAGTGTGTCCAGGCAAATGACCCCACGCCTCCAAACTATAAAATCAGAAAAATGTGTTTGTGATCATTAAAAACCATTGCTTTTGCAAGAGTCTTCCAAAATGAAACGGCCTTCTTTTTACAAAACAAGCAAATCACAGAAAAAGATGATCTCCTATAACAGCTACAGAAAAAGCCTAATACTTTCCAGCTTGGTGACACGTCTGTTACAATAATGTAACTTATAATACAAAGAAGAGAATTTAAAAAGTCAAAGTCTATTCATAGAACTACCTTGCTATTTACATAAAAAGAAGAACCATGTGGAAAAAATGTAGTAAAAGTATAAACATATACATGGGAATGATTCTTACAACCTCAGGATAGTGGTTATTTCCAGAAACGGGGAGTGTGGCTTTAGCCACAGATACTACATATTATTTCTTTAAAAACATAGAGCTCTGAAGCAACTGTGACAAAATGGTATCATCTGTTAAATCTAGGTGGTGGGCATATGAATGCCATGTTAATTTCTGTGTCATTGAACTATTTCACAATTTAAAATATTTCTTTTAAGTAAAAGATACATGCAGCAATACTAGAGGAAAATACACATAATTATCTAAACTTAACACAGAATACTCCTCTTATCTCCTTTCCTTTTAAAATCATCAACCTGGTTTCTTAGCATTGCTAGAGCTCATGGAAACGTAAACAAGATTCCATTATGTATTCCCTCCATTCGAAAGCTGTCATTGTAACTTTCCAAGACCACAGAAGAGGCTGCCTATCATTACCTTGGTAATGGTGAGCACGATGTCAGTGGATGTTACCAGAGGGTGGGGCTTCCCTGTCAGCCTGTAACCAATCACCTGAGGAAGCACCATACTAATTGGCTGACCCAGCATGACAGCTTCTGCTTCAATACCACCGACACCTGCAATGAATGGCATGACCAGAAGAATGCTTTCATTACTCCTTACTCTCTCTCTCAGGTATAAATTTAGTGTTATTAACAGGTAATAAACCCAGTTACAATGTTTAACTGGTGCAGAGTTATGTTTCTATAAACAGCAGGTTTTCTCTATTTTCCTTTATTGAGTTTTTTAACAAGTGTTTCTCAAAGCATGGTCCCCCAAACACCTGCATCAAAATCCCCTTGGTGCCACATGCAAGAAAGAGTAGGCTTTGGGAGTCTCTGTTTTTAACAAACACCCTGGGTGATTTTTGTGAATGCTAAATATCCCTAACCCCTTGCTCCCGTTCATTCTTCCAAGCATAATTATTGAGTGCCTGCTAGGTGCAAAGTGATTTTCTGGACACTGGAAAACAGCGGTGATGAAACTGCCTAAAATACCTCTCTGAAACTTGCGGTCATGTAAATTCGTGTTACTGAGATGTAATGGAATCACGGTGAATTAAGGCACGTGCCCTAAAACAGCATATATGGAATAGAAACTTGGAAGAACACTCACCCCAACCAAGAACGCCCAAGCCATCAATCATAGTAGTGTGTGAATCTGTGCCCACGACGCTGTCTGGGTAATAATATCCATCCTGATCAAATACCACTCTTGCCAAATATTCCAAATTCACCTGGTGGATGATTCCTGAGCCAGGGGGAATGATCCGCATGTTGTGAAAAGCCTGGGAACCCCACTGGGATTGACAAATGGAAAGAGCACTATGAACATGTGAGGTACTTCTACTCAGCCCATCTTCTTGGCACCTCTCCCTTGTACCCCACATACACAGAAAACCAAACAATGGAACCAGACCCTGCTCATACCTTTAAAAATTCAAATCGCTCTCTATTTCTTTCAAATTCCAGGTCTTGATTCTTCTGTAAACTGTCTGCCCTGTCAGAGAGAAAAATTAAATGTATACATGTTGAGGCTTAACTTTTTAGTGGTCAAATTTATGGGTGATAAAGAAACAAAATGGAATGGCATCTCTGCGCTTGCTGAGTGATAATATGAATTTCATTCATGACTATTTACAATGAGAAAAAGGAGAAGTAACTAGTCAAAGTAAAAAAAGTAATTATTGTTTGGTTCAAGTGATTCCTACAATGCCTTTAAATATGGTAGGCAGAAAACGTGAGCTGAATTCAAGTTAAAACTGATTTAGGCCAGGCGTGGTGGCTCCAGCCTGTAATCCCAGCACTTTGGGAGGCTGAGGCGGGTGGATCACGAGGTCAAGAAATCGAGACCATCCTGGTCAACATGGTGAAACCCCGTCTCTACTAAAAATACAAAAAAATTAGCTGGGCATGGTGGTGCGTGCCTGTAATCCCAGCTACTCAGGAGGCTGAGGCAGGAGAATTGCCTGAACCCAGGAGGCAGAGGTTGCAGTGAGCCGAGATTGTGCCATTGGACTCCAGCCTGGGTAACAAGAGTGAAACTCTGTCTCAAAAAAAAACAAAAAACAAAAAAAACTGATTTAATCGACTGCTGGGAAGATGGCCGACTAAGAACAGCTCAGGAATTCAGCTCCCAGTGAAAGTGCAGAGGGTGAGTGGACGCTGCATTTCCAGATGAATTTTTATTGCCCACAGACCAGGAAATTCCCAGGCGGAGGGGTCGCCAGCGCCGATGTTTCCGCCAGTGCAGCTGTTTCGGCCTGCGGGGCTGATTTGGCCTGTGTGGCAGCTTTGACCACGCCCTGCGGGGCAGTTCTCCATACAAAAGACACTGGTCTGGGAGCCCTCTTAGTTGGCAATTGGAGCCCTGAAACAGGAGAGTTGCCCATTCATCTGAAATAGCAAGCCAGGCCAGGAGATTCCTAGGCAAAAAAACCGCCAGGAGCCTCAGCGCCACGTTTCAGCCGGCTCAGTGAGTCGTGGCACAGGAGATCCCGGCACCTTTTCAAAAGGAGACTGGAACGCTGGGTCGGTCAACTGAAGCAAAAAAAAAAGACTCTGAGTCAGGGAGCCAGGTGATCAGGCTTGGTTGGTCCCCCCCCACAACAACAACAACAACAACAACAACAACAACAAAAACAGTAATTGCAAATGCTCTGTGTTGAGCGTTTTACAGCAAGCACAGCTGAACCCGGGATGGTCTGGCTCTGTGGGGGAGGGGCGTCTGCCATTACTGAGACTCTCCACCACTACGGAGGCAGCCTGCCGTCTCTGAGGCAACCCACCGTTGCCGAGGCAACCCGCCACTACAGAGAGAGTCTGCCATAACAGAGGCGGGGCCACCATTGCTGAGGCAGTTCTAACTACACCCATATAAACAGGACTGCAGGGAAGATCAAACGGCGGCACAGCAGCTCAGCAAAGCCTCTGCAGGCAGACAGGGACTAGGTGGACTCCTAACTGCAGGGCAGCCCTGAAAGAAAAAAAAGGGGGGCAGCAGCCCAATGGAAACTCATAAAGCCCTAACTCCCCAGTACAGAGCACCTGGGAACAAAAAGCGGTTTATGAGTTCAGCTGAAGCAGACCTAAACGTACCTGCCCAGCAGCTCTGAATGAACAAAAGAGCTCACAGATCAGGACTTGAGGCCCAATAAAAGACAGACTGTCTCCTCAAGCAGCTCCCTGACCCCCATAGATCCAGAGTCACCTCATAAAGGAGAGAACAGACTGACATTTGGTGGGTATCCTTCTGGAACAAAGATAGCAGAAGAGGAAACTGGTAGCAACCCTTACTGTTCTGCAGTTGCTGCAGGTGATCCCCAGGCAAGCAGGGCCTGGAGTGGACCTCAGCAGTCCTACAGCAGAGGGGCCAGACTGTTAGAAGGAAAGCTTGAAAAAAAAAAAAAAGAAGTAACTTCAGCATCCACAAACTGGAAGCTCACTTAGAGACCCATGAAAGACAATAACTACAAAGACAACAGGTGGATAAACCCACAAAGATGGGAAGAAACCAGCACAAAAAGGATGAAAACTCCCAAAACCAGAACATCTCTCCTCCTAAAAGGGATCACAACTCCTCATCAGCAAGGGAACAAGACCAGATGGAGGAGTGTGATGAAATGACAGAATCAGACTTCAGAAGGTGGGTAGTAAGAAACTACAATGAGATAAAAGAATATGTTCTAACCCAATGCAAAGAAACTAAAAACCTTGAAAAAAGACTTGACGAAATGCTAATGAGAATGGACAACATAGAGAGGAATATAAGTGAATCGATGGAGCTGAAAAACACAACACGAGAACTTCGTGAAGCATGCACAAGTTTCAACAGCCGAACTGACCAAGCAGAAGAAAGGATATCAGAGGTTGAAGATCAACTCAATGAAATAAAAAGAGAAGGCAAGAACAGAGAAAAAAGTGCAAAAAGGAATTAACAAAATCTTCAAGAAATGTGGGACTATGTGAAAAGACCTAATCTAGGTTTGATAGGTGTACCTGAATGTGATGAAGAGAATGAATTCAAGCTGGAAAATACTCTTCAGGCTATCATCCAGGAAAACTTCCCCAACCTAGCAAGGCAGGCCAATATTCAAGTCCAGGAAATACAGAGAACACCACAAAGATATTCCTCAAGAAGAGCAACCCCAAGGCACATAATCATCAGATTCACCAGGGTTGAAATGAAAGAGAAAATGCTAAGGGCAGCCAGAGAGAAAGGTCGGGTTACCCACAAAGGGAAGCCCATTAGACTCACAGCAGATCTCTCAGTAGAAACCCTACAAGCCAGAAGAGAGTGGGGGCCAATATTCAACATCCTTAAAGAAAAGAACTTTCAACCCAGAATCTCCTATCCAGCCAAACTAAGCTTCATAAGTGAAGGAAAAATAAAATCCTTTGCGAACAAGCAAGTACTCAGAGATTTCATCACCACCAGACCTGCTCTGTAAGAACTCCTGAAAGAGATTCTACACATACAAAGGAACAACCAGTACCAGTCACTCCAAAAACATACCAAATGGTAAAGAGCATCAACACAATCAAGAATCTGCATCAACTAACCAACAAAACAGCCAGCTAGCATCAAAATGGCAGTATCAAATTCACACATAACAATATTATCCCTAAATGTAAATGGACTAAATGCCCCAATCAAAAGACACAGACTGGCAAACGGGATAAAAAGCTGAAACCCATCAGTGTGCTGTATCCAGGAAACCCATCTTACATTCAAGGATACACAAAGGCTCAAAATAAAGGGATGGAGGAAGACCTACCAAGCAAATGGAGAGCAAAAAAAAGCAGGAGTTGCAATTCTCATCTCTGATAAAATAGACTTTAAAGCAACAAAGATCAAAAGAGATAAAGAAGGACATTACATAATGGTAAAAGGATCACTGCAACAAGAAGACCTAACGATCCTAAATATATATGCACCCAATACCCAATACAGGAGCACCCAGATACATAAGGCAAGTTCTTAATGACTTACAAAGAGACTTAGACTCCCACACAATAATAGTGGGAGACTTTAACACCCCATTGTCAATATTAGACAGATCAACCAGATAGAAAATTAACAAGGATATCCAGGACCTGAACACAGACCTGGAACAAGCAAACCTAATAGATATTTACAGAACTCTCCACCCCAAATCCACAGAATATACATTCTTCTCAGCACCACATCACACCTACTCTAAAATTGACCACATAATTGGCAATAAATCATGACTCAGCAAATGCAAAAGAACGGAAATCATAACAAACAGTCTCTCAGACCACAGTGCAATCGAGTTAGAACTCAAAATGCAGAAACTAACTCAGAACCGCACAACTTCATGGAAACTGAACAACTTGCTCTTGAATGTTGACTGGATAAACAATGAAATGAAGGCAGAAATAAAGATGTTCTTTGAAACCAATGAGAACGAAGACACAACATACCAGAATCTCTGGGACACATTTAAAGCAGTCTCTAGAGGAAAATATATGCTATAAGTACCCACATGAGAAGCATGGGGAGATCTAAAATTGCAACCCTAGCATCAAAACTGAAAGAGCTACAGCAGCAAGATCAAAAAAACTCAAAGCCTAGCAGAAGACAAGAAATAACTAAGATCAGAGCAGAACTAAAGGAGATAGAGACACAAAAAATCCTTCAAAAAAACCAATAAATCCAGGCGCTGGTTTTTCAAAAAGATCAACAAAACAGACCACTAGCCAGATTAATAAAAAAGAAAAGAGAATAACCAAATTGATGCAATAAAAAACGATAAAGGGGATATCACCACAGATTCCACAGAAATTCAAACCATTATCAGAGATTATTACAAACAACTCTATGCACATAAAGTAGTAAACCTGGAAGAAATGGATAAATTCCTGGACACCTGCATCCTCCCAAGCCTAAACCAGGGAAAAGTTGAAACCCTGAATAGACCAATAACAAGGTCTGAAGTTGAGGCAGCAATTAAGAGCCTACCACCCAAAAAAATCCCAGGTCCAGATGGGTTCACAGCTGAATTCCAACAGACATACAAAGAGGAGCTGGTACCATTCCTGCTGAAACTATTCCAAATAATCCAAAAACAGGGAACCCTTCCCAAATCATTTTATGAGACAAACATCAATCATTTTATGAGACTAAACAAGAAAAAAAAATTTCAGGCCAATATCCATGATGAACATAGATGCAAAAATCTTCAATAAAATACTGGCAAGCCGACTGCAACAGCACATCAAAAAGCTTATCCACCATGATCAAGTAGGATTCATCCCAGGGATGCAAGGCTAGTTCAACATACGCAAGTCTATAAACGTAATTCACCACATAAACAGAACCAAAGACAAAAACCACATGATTATCTCAATTGATGCAGAGAAAGCCTTTGACAAAATTCAGCAGCCCTTTATGCCAAAAACCCTCAATAAACTAGATATTGACAGAACGTATCTCAAAATAATAAAAGCTATTTATGACAAACCAACAGCCAATAT